GGGGGGGGCACGCTTCATCTAGTCAGCTCGTAGCTTTCTTGCTTCGTTGCTATCGTGTAACGTAAAGAATATGACAAACCTTTTTGGTGGCTGTCATTTGTTCACAGATATTCGCAACTCCGTTTGGTCTCATCTGTTTTTTGGTTTTTCTAGCGGAAGCACTTAAAGGAAGGATTCTAATGAAACCTTTGAGACTAATTTTTACAAATATTTAACCCGAGTTCAATGAGATTTTGGCTCACGGGTCAACTTGACCCCGCAAGATTACTTCTGCATCAGGAGGGTTGACGGTCTTCAAACGAGTTGCGCCATTTGAACTGAGCAAGTTGTCTCTCGAAACTCCCCCAAGCATATGAGCCGTCTGTCACGCCATTCCATACATTCCACATCAAGCACTTCAAACTGGAACCTGATCGTTCCTACACCGCACTTTCCTCCCGAAGCGAGTGGCGGCGTGTGCCATGTCACAGCCACACAGAAAAACAAGACCAATTCCATTGTCCAGAAACTTGAAGTGAACACAAAGTTATCTTTCTGTTTTTGCCACGCCAGGTGGGTCTGCCGGCCAAGTCGGGCGTGTCGGGGGGCATCCTGCTGGTGGTGCCCAACGTGATGGGCATTATGTGCTGGTCGCCGCCCTTGGACAAACTCGGCAACTCGGTCAGAGGGATTCAGTTCTGCACGGTATGACGCAACTCACAAGTCGGAAGAAAATTCGACACGCCTCGCGTCTCCGCAGGAAATACCAGTGCGCGGACGTGGCGGTCCGAAAGCTCCTATTACCTGAACGTCAAATTCCTCAAATGTTACTGTCAGATGACTGCTCACAAAAGTGCGTGAAAATCAAGCCGACATCAGTGCGCTGACGCGATGCAGCAAAAGTCACATTCACAAGTATATCGACACATTGAACAAGACACCCTAATGAATTTTGTCCTAGTTGGGAGTGCGCCACGGTATTTGTTTGTCAGTCGTTGGGTAAGGCGCGCGTGCGTGCGTCTGGGAGCCGGGCCCAGATTGTTTATTCATGCGTTGCCAATTCAAATCATGACGACGACCGTCGTCAAATCTTTCACGTCATATTTGCATTGCAGGACCTGGTGGAACTTTTTAATTTCCACAACTACGACAACTTGAGGCACTTTGCAAAGAAGCTCGATCCTCGCCGGGAGGGAGGAGAACAGCGGGTAAGGACACGCAACCCCCCCCCCCCCCCTTCGCCCACCCCAGGCTTCTTCGCGCGCTAACCGGGGCGAGTCCGCCGTCGTGAACTCAACCTCCCACGAATGTTTGAAAACACGCTACAGACGATTAGGACGGGACGCGCGGTGTCCATAACGGCCCGTTCTCAAAAACATCCGCTCGGCTTCACGTGTTCTTCTTGGTCAAATACGGAAGGCGTTTGTTTTTCCCCTCGAAGAAGGTGAAGCGCCGCGAATGCTCACCGGAGCGCAGGGCGGAGCGCGTGGCCATTTTGCCGTCTCGGAATTTCTGACTAACGTGTTATTCCTGTGGATTGACACCGCAGCAATTCCGTGGACCCATGGACTATGAGAGCCTCCAACAGGAGCTCGCTCTGAAAGCCCCGCTTTGGAAAAAAGTCTCGCCCAACGAGTCGCACCAGGACACCTCCACCACTGTAGTCTATCGGATGGACAATGTCAGCGAATAGGTCGGACCGATACGCGTCCGCGCAGTATATCGCCGCTGTGTCATCCTCGAATATTTATGGCACTTGGAGGACTATTTATTGCTTGTGAAGCAGTTACTGCTGTGTTTTGTTTTGTTGGAATTATTTTGTGACGGACATATGGGATATGTTACTCTCTCGTTTATTTTTCGTACTGACCCGCTAGCTGCCTTAGTGTGTACACGACACTGTAACTTATGACACGCTCACTACAAGCTCGCGTTTTAATACGACGTGTGCGTGCGCGCGCGTACATTAAAACGCCGCACTCTAATCAGTCAGTGATTGACAGATGAATAGGAACAAGGTATTCTCAGTTGAGTGGACTTCCGCTCCAATATTATCACAGTCGAACTCAGGCAAAGTTGTCTAAAAAGTCTTGAGAACTTTTTTTAAAGGGGGAAATAGACTTTTGACGGGTTGTCTAGAAAAATCGGTTTGGCGGACTGCCTGCCTGGCTGACCATATGCCAATCTCCTCCAGCGGTGTTTGCTAATCTTTACTGAGCCAAGGTACACGTTTTGCCGTTGGGAAAATGAAGCGGGGGGGGGGGGGGGGATACGTAACACCTGACTCACAAATTGACTTCAGAAATGCATTGCACTTGTTTCGACGGGAATGCAGCCGTTTCGACTGCAAAATTTGTCAGCTACGTTTTTCTTCAACGGGTCTTGCCCGGTTGTGAAATTCAAGCTTGAGTAGAATTGGAATGATGAACAGAAAGCAGTCGAGGGCAGTGTAGCATCACTGGATTTGAGATGCGCATAGCTTCCGAGTTGAAGAGAAAGATTAGGGGCGATTCTCAGCTTGTCGTGTCCATCGTGATGCAAGTCAGACATGCTGAGGCACCTTACGCTCGGACAGAATCTGGAATGTATTATCAAGATTCCTTGGAACTGTTTTCAATTGTGTGTGTTAGGGGAAGGTGGGGTTACATAATATATTTCATTTAAAAACGAATTTTTAGTCTCAAGACGCCGCCTGTTTTCCAGTATTGTCTCAAGTTGGTGTGTATAGCGTCTGCCGTCAGTCACCTCAATCTCAAACCACTGCGACCGGCAATACTTGTCCGGGGGCGGGAATGTCGTGCCCGTCACCGCCGTGGCGCCGCTTTTCACTTGACTTCGATTCAGCGGGGTCAGCTGCTGCTATCGTGCCGTCATGACTATCAGGTCGTGGGTAGTTTTTACAGGCTCACGACCGTTGTTGGTGTTGCGGGAGTTTTTGTTACAAAGGATTCGAAAAGAGTTTGATGGGACGTCATAGGGAAGACGCCCTCGTTTTAATTGCTTGTCATCGTCAGTTGCCTATTTCCGAAAACGTGTTTGTGTGTGAGCGCTCGTGGATTGTGCCGGATTGTGGCGTTGGCATGCAATAACAACAACGGATTGGTTTTAAATAGACGGGTGGGGGGGGGGGGTTGTCCTTTATTCGACAGAGAAGTAGCATGTCATACCAGAGGAATTGATCAGTTGATTGTTTTGGAGAGGGAACGACATCCGAAATGCATGATGAGCAAAATGTTCAAGGGTTGCAAAGTGGTGATTATTAAAAAAAAAAAAAAAAGTAATCAAACGAAATGAATCCGCACACCGTCTGCACATTTTCCTGAAATCTACAATCGCAACCAATCCGACTCAAATGCAAATCCAAGTCGCCGGCCGGCCAGAGGATTATGAATGTTTTGGTTTGGCTTCTCGACTTGTCATTCTCACTGTTTGCATGCACATTTTTTTTTCTATAATTTGTATGATAATTATGTAAAATCACAGAGTTGTAACCTACATGTTATTCTGTTTGTTAATTTGTGTCTTGGGACATAATCAGTTGTATGTACATTGGAAATGGAGGGTTTCCAAAAGGAAAAAAAAAAGTTCAATAATTAGGAATTATTGAATGAATGAACCCTGCACTTCCAAGTTCATCATTGTTTTTTGGGATTTTTGTTTTTTTTTTTTTTTTTGTCTTTGGATTTCTTTTTGTCTGTCCACATGAGTGTACCTTGTACATAATGTCTCCATAAAAGCCACCATTGTAACTTGTTCCATCATGTTCTGCATTTGTTTCTTTGACTGACAGATATACTGTATACGTATATATCTGTCACACACACACACACACACACACACACGCACACACACACACACACACACAGATCTGGTGTTGTTAAAATCCAATAAAGCACTTTTAGCTCTTCACGTGGACATTTTTAGACTTTAGTGCCATGTTTAATTGGATGTGGCAATTGGGAATGATGTAGGGCAGGTTGCGGCACGTCAGGTGGGGGAAGGAACAGATGGCCAGAAGAGAGAGAGAGAGAGAGCAAGCAGCAATGCCGGCTAATGTTTGGGTGGGTGGGTGCAAGCAGGGTGTCCAAACTATGGCCCGGGGTCCATTTGTGGCCCATTGTCCATTTTCCAGCGGCCCACAGCATATACTTGAACTGACATTTGCTACTAATGCATTTGTTTTCTACACTTTGAGCTTTTCTAAATATGCACAAATGCAAATGAACTATAATGGCCAGTCCGTAACCTGCATTTGAGAAGGCCTGCGTGTGTGCGTGCATATATATATATATATATATATAGTAATATCATTTCTCTTTGCAATACCGCAGTGAGAAAGAGCATTCTTTTTTTTTTACAAGCAAAAATGGTTCCCTCCACTTTCTGATCCGTGTCAAGGCCCAAATGGTGAACTTCTCACATGAAGGACCGCTTGAAAAATAGTCATCTGACAACAGATTGCTCCCGTTTTGGTTTATGAATATCGAGATGGGTTTCGGCCGCTCTTCAGTGCAGGGGCAGATACCCCATCGCCCAAATCTAATCACCATTATATAAACAATGTGCAGTTGCTTGATTGACTGATTTGGGTGTGCTTGATAAAATATAAAGTCAAGACATTTTCAAGTGGTCCTTTGATTTTTCTGTATTTAACACGGTACTAATGTCAAACCTGCTAGCATGTTGCTGGAGCAGACAGAAGAAAATTAACCGTGATACCATCAGCACAACAACTCTTGCTAACGCGGTTTCAAAAAATAATAATTAATAAAAAAAAGATAACAGCGACACAATCTATTGATGCTTGGTTGGAGAGGCAATGGACAAAACCAAAAGAGAAGCAATAATCAAGAGCAAGTAAAGCAACTGCAAGTATGCTGTTGGAGAGAAGGTAAACAGCAATAACGACACACAACCGCGTCTGCTAACTTGCTACTGTATAGTTTGGAGAGGGGGGCAAATCACAATAACACCACAACTGGCCTCAAGCGGTTTAGTGCCACTCCCAATTGAAGTTTACTCTCCAGAGAATTACACCAAAATAAAACTTACAAAAGTGCTAGCTTAAATGCTAACAGACAATACAAAAAGCAGTAGGCTGGCAAAAAAATAAATAAATCCATACGATGTTGCCACAATTCTGATGTAATATCATAACATTGAAATTAACATGCCTGTGTGAAAATTGACATGCCACGGTCTTTGCATTTCCTCATCAAAACGGTGTCGTGTGTTTGTGTTACGCTGCCCCCCGATGGCCAAGGAGCGCACACCAGAATGAGTGGCCCCATGCCGGTTGAGTGACGCGAGTTGAGATTTTTCGCTGACGTTCGGAGAGCGGACAGGCAGAATGCCACAAAATATTTCCTCGTGGTTTTGCCGGTTGGCCAAGGGAAGGGCAAGAGGTCGTCGCTATTGGGTTGGCGCGGGCTTCGCACCGTGGGACACACGTGAAGAAGGTCCAAAATGAGCAATTGTGACTATGTGGTTTGTGTCTTCAGGTCAAGTCTGTCATTAACTTGCTGTTTGCCGCCTACACAGGAGACGTCTCTGCACTGAGGAGGTGAACCACAAACCCAGTCGCATGTTTGAAACATCTCCTTTTGAAAAATTGACGCGGATATTTTTAAGTTAAAAAAAAAAAGAAAAACATCGAGATGACGAACGAGCCCTGTGCGCCAAATTGACCTGCCTGTTTTTGAAATGTGAAAATTTAGATGGTAAAACACTCGGGGGTCAGATTGACCCATGCAATGTCAAATTTAAAAATCGAACTTTTAAAACCCACATGTCAAACGGAGCCGTGTGTTTTCAAGTGGAAATGTTAAAACTCTTCCGGTCAAATTGACCCCAATCGGCTAAAATTGATGTAAAAACGCTTCGGGTCAAACTGACCTGCGTTCTAAGGTTGAAAAATCTAGATACAAAAACTCCCTCGGTGAACCACGTAGTTTTTCAGAGAGAAGGGAAAAAAAATACAAATTGACCCACAATTTTTTTTAAGTGTAAAAATTTGGATTTGGGGGAAAAAGGAAGATAAAATATAAATCTTTAAATGGCTTTTTTGTGCCTTTTCCAATTGTATTCTATTGAATGTCAATTGATGCATTCAATTGATTTTTCACACAAATCTCATGCCTCTACCCTCAAAACGTTTTGGGTCCAACTGACCCACCCTTTTAAAATTATTAATTAAAAAAAAAACAAACTCAAATCTAAATTCTGGAAAAATAATTTTTGGCCAAATACGTACAATGTGAAATATACTAAACTGGAAGCAACCGGTGCAATAAAAAGAGGTTGAATAAAAGTCCCAACCTCCTTTCTTTTTCTGGGCAACTTTCATCCACTCATTGCTGTGACGTTTGAGTTCTCCTCCTGTCATTCCGGTTTGCCCCAAGGGGAGGCTTAAACCAAAGTGTCTGCATGCAGGTTTGCCTTGTCGTCCATGGACATGGAGCAGAGGGACTACGACTCCAGAACGGCCTTGCACGTAGCTGCGGCTGAGGGTAGCGTACACAAATGCAACTTGCCATGATTAGCTTTGACATCCGTCTGCCGCTGCCTTGGCCACACAAAGTCGCAAGGAAACGCACGCGAGAACCCGTTTGCCAGTGGAAAGGTGAAAGGAACTTTCACTGACGCAAGAGCAAAGTGTGAGGCGGGGGCATAACCCCCACAGAGGGGGCATTTTGGCTGCCAAAAAGGAGATTCGAACGCAGAATTGTGAGCCAGCATAGTGATTTCATTTTCTTTTTTTTTCTTTTCCAAAATGCTTCATTTTAGTTTGTGAGTTGATTTTTTCAAAATAGTATTTGGCCAATGCAAGACAATTAAAAAAAGGGACTAAACTACACAATCAAGTAAACCACAATCTTCCAGCAACCCTATGACCTTCCTTTTTCTGCCAGGATGTACAGCAAAACCGAAATGAACACATTTCAAATTAATTCCAACTGCTCGTGGATGATATTGACAAAAAAAAAAAAAAAAGGAAATTTTCATGACAATTTAGTTTTATTTATTTATATTTATTATTAAAAATAATTTTTATTTTATATGGTGAACCTAAATGTTTTGTTCGGCGCTAGCCACTACTCCTCCCTGCCGACTCGGTTTGCTTACTTGTAAAAATCATTCGCTTGAAATGATCGCATAACGCCCGCAAGCCGACGTCGTCACCGTCGCGAGGCAAGCAGTGGAAGGTTTTCGACCATTTTTCAGACACAAACCCGATCGAGCGCGCTAGCCGGTCAACAACAAGCCAAAGAAAAAGCATGGCCAAAGTTCGGCGATCTCCTTGTGACTGCACTTGTGCTTGCAGGTCACACGGAGGTGGCGCGTTTCCTGCTGGAGGCCTGTAAGGTCAACCCGGTCCCCAGAGACAGGTGGGTGTCTAAAAAAGTCGATCGACACACCCTCCGTTCAAATGCCAGGATTTCCTGGGACCAAGATCAATCATTCCCAAACTTTTTCCACCATTCATCTGACCTTCACAACATGGGACTGGGGGAAGAAAAAAAAAAAAAAGGTGACGCAACTGAGAAAGTGTGGTTGCCCCCCCCCGCAACCGGGACGTGGCCTTGGTCAGAATCAAGCAAACGCATTCAAAGGGCGCCCAAAGAAAATAGACGGCTGGGCGTTTTCTGTTCTTTTTGCCGTCTAACCGCGAGCGACGAGCGTGCCCGGTTAAATAACGTCCTTGTGCGCGCAGGTGGGGGAACACGCCGATGGACGAGGCCGTGCACTTCGGCCACCACGATGTGGTGGCCATCTTGCAGCCGCACGCCGACAAACATCGGGCGGCCGACGCCTCGGGCGACGCCGAGAGCGCAGAGAAGAGCTTGGACAGTCTGCTGTAGAAGCGGCCGCCACTGCCGCCGCCGCCGTCGTCTTTTGTATCCCCATCGGATCTTCAGTCTGAAAAGTCGCGCTTCGAACCCCAATAGCTTCGTTTATCATCTCGAATTATCTCAGTGGAAATTGCTCTCTCTGTGTTCTTTGGGGAGTCTTGTGCATTCTCTGATTGTGGCCGTTGCCGTGCGTGGAAATGGAACCGTGCCCGAAATTGTTGTCGCGCTGAATATTTGCCGAGAGCGTTTCTTGGACTTCTGCCGTTGGACGAGCGCAACCGCCTGTCTCCGTTTTTAGAGTGTTCAAACTATTTATCAACTCACACGAAGATGAATGTATTTGAAGCAGATTTTTCGGGATGACCCGAAGAGCTCTTTTCCAAAATGCCCAAAATAAATATATAAATACACACACACACACACACACACACACACACACACACACACACACACACACACACACACACACACACACACACACACACTGTCGAACTAGCGTCGCATTTTGATATTTATCCGTTTCCTACCTTCGTCATAGTGCTCATTTGTTTTTAATCGCAACGTAATTCAAGGTCACTCGAGCACATTTGTCATTTCAGAAATGCACATCCAAGTGGCAGCGCTTGCTTGGCATTCATCAGAAGCCAGGAAGTAGCTCCGCGCTTCACAAAGGCTGCCATCTCGCCCTGGGATGCGCACTTAACTTGTGTCAATCAACCCTTCTTCATTTTGCTCGGACAAATATCAAATGCGCATTTTGGGACAGTGCTTTTTCCCAACGGGTTAATGGTGTTTTGGAAAAGAACTCCACATGCGATCGATGCTGACGTGCAACTTTGGGGAGGAAAAAAAAGTGCACCAACCCAAGATGTTAGATAGCCTGACTTCTTTTTTTTTTCTTCTGAAAAGTGATTTTCTGTCTATTTGTGAAACGTGTCCTTTCAAAAGAAATGTAAAATGGCCGCCATTTTTCATGCCACAGTTAAGTCGGCGAGCACAATGACCCACACGCGCTCCCATTTTCACAGCTAATGAGCACGCGGCTACTCATCTCTGTGATTGTATAAAAACGTTCCAATTAGAACTCAAATCATCTTTCGCGACTGAAATGAACGGAAATCCAACCGTGGGGAGGACACGCGCGGAGGCCGTAAATGTTGCCGCATTTGCCGGCGACCGGCTCGTCTGCGCATCAAAGCTTTTATTCTGTTGTACTTTTGACCATCGAGTGGAAGATCGTTTCATACTTCTGCCTGTCACTATACGTCACCGCCATAGAGAGCCGAATCAAGATGTTTAGTAGCAAAGCAATGCTCATTTGGGGGCCACTTGAAAAGGAAAACTGGGTCTTACAATTATCAACGGGATTTTGGCCTTTATTCATCGCTAAGCATCATTTTAGGTGACCAGCAGCGTTAGGTTACAACAACTGGCTTTCAAAAGGCTAAAAATGTCCATTCCCCAACCACCGGCCCATTTGGCCGCACAGAGACAGACCAAGATGTTTGTTTTTCAACTCCCACCACCGATCCAGAACCGGACGCCTCACAACCAACGGTTGAGTACGTGACACTACGCACTGTACGACGCGTCGAGACAGTTCCAAACCGGCGACAACACAATGTTTGTCTGTGACACGTCTGTCTGCTCAAATTCGGGCCACGTTTTGAGTTGTCGGACGTCAGAGAGCCTCCCGATACCCGTTTCCAGTGCCACCATTGACAGCGTCTCTCTCTCTCTCTCTCTCTCTCTCTAACGCAAGATCTCTGGTGCATCAAGAGAGATGACGGCTTACTAGAATTCCCTCACGGTTTCTCGAAACGCGTCAGTGTGCATCACGCGGGACTTATTTCATAGCTTGGGCTTTTATTGACGAGACCAGTTGGCATATCGTAACCTTTGTTGAGTCAAGGTACCAATTTTACATTTGAAAAATGTCACGCGTAGCCAGCAAACAAACGTAAAGGTTGAGTTGAGTTTATTTCTTCTGTAGCGTCATACACAAATCAAGGTGCCCGACTCCCACGCGTTTATGAAAACAACAACAACACAAACATACAGTGATGCAGACATTCCCAAATGTCTCCAACAAAAGGAGCCCTGCTATGCCGCAACCGAGCCCGTAACTGAAACGGAGCCAAACAAAGTGGCTGACACGCAAAGAAAGAAGGAAAAAAAGCAAAAACTGAAGAAGACTGAAATGCTGCCCACTTCGTGACAAATGTCCTGACTTGGTGTGAAATGTGGGCTCGTTGAATGCAGCACAAAGCTACGGGCGGGCAGTCGTGACTTGCCGTGTCGGATGAAGGGCAAGAGATGCAAAGCAGTTGATTGTTCTGCCTGCCACTCTAAAGTGCTGGCATAGATCAAAAGAGAGATTTGGGACGGCTACAACGTATTCCAAAAAAATAATCAGAAGACACAGTCAACAATCATAAGGATGACCACTTTTAACTGCAGACTACACACTAATTGGCAAAAAAAAAACCAAATAATAATAATAATAGCAATAGATGTGTGGATTTCCCTTTGAGCAATTCCAGCCTTGTAAAAGCGACGAGACATTTCGTTTTATGATGCGCTTGTATGTTGTTGTTTTTAAACACAGCCCGAGTCATTTTTATTTGTGCTTCTCGGATATTTGATTGTTTCAACATTTCAAATGTTCAACATGACTGAGAATTGAAACTTAAGTGCACTTTTAAAAGGAGGTACAGTAATCCCTCGTTTATCGCCGTTAATGGGGACCGAAATCGCCCGCGATAAACGAAAATCCGCTAAGTAGCAAACACCCCCCCCACCCCCGTATATGTACATGTGCATGAGTATAAAAAAAATATTTATAAGGCCATATTTAATGGTATAAATGCATGTAGAAGTAAATTTTGTAGTAATTAACATTACTTAATGCTATATACTAATAAATTTAAACATGTTTAAGTTAGGTTAGGTTAGTGTATGAATAACAGATACATGTAACACTGTATTTGTTGCTCTATGTGACTCGCTATTGTTTTGCTGACTTTCGCTGCCTCTCGCGGACTGTTTGTGGGCTTCTTTTTTTTTTTTTTTTTTTTTAATGAATACGTGAATCCGCGATGCACCGAGGCCGCGATAAACGAACCGCGAAATAGCGAGGGATCACTGTATTTTTAATACTTGGCTCGAACATCATCACTGTATCAGTGCCGTTATTTATTTATATATATAAAAACGATGCTATCGTTTACAGTTTCTAGTTTTTTTTGTTTTTTTTTGGGTTATCGTGTCAGGCCTGATAGCTGCATGCAGCGACCAAACATGTTCACTATCCCTGATTCTCCCGCCTCAAGTATTTTAAGATTGAAGTGAAGCCACCAACTTGATGTTGCTCAGAGGAGGTCGGGTAGTTCAAAAATCCCCGTCGGATGGCAAAAGTCTTCCTGCGGGAAAACACACACACACACACACAATCATGATTCGTGTCATCGTGCTTATTTACAATATTAGTGGAGGAAAAAAAAAAGGGGGGGGGTGGTGTGAGAGATGCAGTGAATGGAAACCCACAGGGATGCTGGGCATCGAGGGGAACTTGTTGGCCGTGTGGTGGAGAAGGAGGCGGCGTTGGCATACTGGGAAGGAGAAAAACAAAACGTAAGAAATCTCCTCAAAGCAATTCTTATTCCAGAAGGAGAAGATTGACCACCGTTTTGAACCGTAAAGGCCCATCATTGCAAGCATGCGTCCATTCACGCAAGTACGAGCCTGAGGTCAGTCACACTTACTCGGTCACATTGATGGGTCTTCGTGGCAAATAACCCCACACCCTGGGAAGTGTCTGCTTATCTGCAGAGAGAAGACATTGACATCCATTCCATGTACAACACCGCAAAAAGTGGCCCACAGTGGTCGATACAGTCCCAAAGACGCCCATTTGGGTGCCTTTCTATGACCTTTCCGGTCCCTCTGTGACTCCACTGCAACGGTACGTAGAAAACAAACAAATAAACAAACAAAAAAGGCCAAATCTAATTCCCCCGTACAGATTTGAGAACGTTGGAGCCTCACCCGAAACGTCACTCCCAAAACCCAAACGGCCAAACTTGGCTCGAGTCTTGGTTTGAAATGAGCAAGAAACGAGTTGAGCAAAGAGCGTGCATACCAGAGCCGTAGTAGTAGCGTCCGAAAGCGACGTCTTTGTCCACGTCCGGGTACAGATAGAGCAGAGGATTCCTGGTGACGTTGCCGTGAACTCTGGAAGTGAAGTCGTAAATCTCGTCGGGCAACGGGCTTTTCTCCAGGTCCGACTTGGTGTAGGGCTCAATCGAGTGCACTTGAGTCTCTGAAGGCGGGAGGCGGCCGAGGGGGGTGGGGAGGGGTCAGCTTCACCTTCCGCCTCTTAGGCTAACGAGCTAGCTTATTTGCTTCGCGCGCATTGACCTATCCTTGGCGTTTGTATTTTTCCAAAGCGCCGCCGGCTAAGCGGGAAAGGAGCAAATGATGTCGAGGAGGTCGGGTGAAGTGAACTTTTTAGAGCCGGAGTTGGGAAAAGTAGCTGTCGTTTTGGTATTGGCCCCGCAGGAGACACACAGATACTTGCTTCATCCCGTGAAGGAAATCAGACAGACGGTATTACGATACTCACAGGCATACGCCTGATAGAATGCTCTTTTACGTATATATGTTTTGTTTTTTTTTTTTTGCTGGGGCTAGAACAGATAAGACACATAATTGTTACCAATTTTCTTGTTACACATAATGTGAAAAAGATAACATACACACAAACATGCATGCACAATATCGGCTTAAAAAAAAAAAAGAAATCCATATTAGTCGGGCCAAATAATGTCTTGTTGTACATCTATCTTTTCCGGCGACGTACAGATCAATTGAATGTGCTTCCACGAGATGGCAGAAGTTTTAACGAGACGTCCCTCCAGCTATCGGTCACCAATGCGTTTTTTTCGCGAGAGCAAACGACGAGTGTACCTCCGTTATGGTGTTCCACCCAGCTGTAGGAGATGGCGCCATCTTGGTTGGTCTCGCTGAAGCGGAGTAAGAAGGTGCCCGTCTTTTTTTCCCACAGCAGCTCCTTGATTTTCTCTCGGCTGACGAAGCCCATGATGAGCCTAAAGCAAAAGGCCCACAATGAGAAGCCCGTTTGGAGAGAACGATCCACGTTGACGGTCGCCAACGCATCTACCCGTCGCGCCAGAGATCCGCCAGGTGCTTTTTGATGAGATCCAGGATTCCGGAGAGCCAAAGCCACACGTTGACGTTTTTCTGACAACCTCCTTTGGAAAATGAGTTCCAGTGTACAAAACCGTCGGGATCCTCTGCGGGGAAAATCAGCGACACACATTCGTTTCAGACAAATGAAGGCCTTCATCGGAATGGCCGACCGCCTGTCGCCGCGTGCGCCTCGTGACGCCGGCTTTTTCGATTCCGCATGGATCTGTCGTCGTCTACGTTGGCGCGAGTTGCGTGACTCTTACCGACAAATTTCTCTCTGAGCATGGAGAGTTGGTTGTCGTCAAGTCGCCGTTTTCCGACGGACAAAAATTGCCAGCTCAGAACCTGGGAAAGCTCCGGCCAGGACAGCCGCGGCGGGTCGGAAAAGAGCGACAGGTTCTGGGGGGAGAAAAAACAAACTTGATGACTTGTCATTTTAGTCCACAGGTGTCAAACTCAAGGCCCGGGGGCCAGATTCGACCCGCCACATCATTTTATGTGGCCCGCTAAAGCAAATCGTGGGTGTCAACTTCCATGATGCGTGCTAAAATCTGTACCGAAATGCTACATTGTCATGTGTAATAAATAATGAGATTTTGCAATAGTTTTTGTTCCCCTGTTTACACACACTCGAACAATAATTGAAAAAACAACAAACAAATAATCGACTGATTTCAAAACTAGCAAGCCATCATGTTTTTGGTGGACAAGTAATAATACGATGTAATGATGAAACGTTTATTCGGTGTCTGTCGTCACGGCCCTCCGAGGAAAGACGTAACCCCAAAGTGGCCCGTGACAAAAATGAGTTTGACACCCTTGTTTTGGACCAAATGAGCCCAAAGCACAAACTGGGCTAATTCAGTCCAGCTGGTCCATCGACGCAGGTTGGCGGCCCCTGAATGCTTTTATCGCTTCCACTGATTCCAAATGAGTAGAATCCCAATAAAGACAGCAGACCGGGACGATTCGCTTGTTTCCGCCTCACTGACTCCGGTGAGCGGACGCGCGTCGATCACGCTCAAGCGTCTCCAAAGGCGAGAGCCTTGCGGCAATTACCATCGGTTCGCTGGTGGACACGTTGTACCACATGACGGAAGCCCAGGCGCTGGGAAGCTGGCCCGTCGCCGATATGACCACGACCGGTAGAGTGCTGGCCTGGCGAGGGAAGACCAAAGAAAGCCTCACTTATTTTCTTTTCCTGACACCCTCAACTTCAGTCCCACGTCCTCTGTGGCAAACGCAAGCGCCAGCTGCGACTCACCTGGATGTGACAGTCCAGTCCGGCGTGCTGGAAACAGGTCACAAAAGTGATGACGTGCAGTTCTTCCGTGACGGTCAAAGCACTCTGGCCAGGGAGAAAAATACAGAGCGTTCAGGATTGCGCCGATCAAAAAGAAAAGGCGCAGGAAAAGGCTGAAGAAGCCATGCCCCGAATTCGGCAGGAAGTCCGCCATTTTGACTGTGGGCAACATGCGGCGTACGCCCTGGACTGGTCGCCAATGGAAGTAGGGCACGATCAGAAATGATAAATAGGTCTTACCTCGTCTGATTTTCGCACCCTCTTTTTGCTTTCCTGATTTACCTGCGAGGAGGGGGAAAAAAAAAAAAAAAAAGTATCAGAGGGTTAGATATTCTCCATACATGTTTTCTACAAAATGGGCTCAGCTTCATCTTTCTTACCAAGTCGGTAAATTCGGCAACCAAGCAATCCCCAGTTACGTTCACGTCTAGCACCTTGCTCGGCTCCTTGGTGAAATCAAAGTGACGGAAGCTGCGCCAAGACACGGGACTCGATCAAGGGCGAAGAGCATTTTGAAGCCGAGCCGACCGCTTCCGCTATTTACTCACCCGTTGGTTTTAGTTTTCTCAGCGACATCCCTGATTGTCAGAGACAAGAAAAAAATAAAAACCGGTTCTGATCTCTTTTCTGGCCGGGATCGAAAGCGTGCCTGGCTTTTGACTTACTTGTCAAATACAGCTTTAACTTTCAGCAGGCATCGAAATTTTTCAAGATTTACCAGGAACCTGAAAAGCAAACAGGAGGATGGAAGCCTTCGCCAGTAACGGTAACACGCTCATGCGATCAAGTCTCAAGTTACTGAGGCTTCATTTCGGAAAGGCCGCACTGACGCAAATGCCATCCGACGCCCGTCGATGAGCGGTCCTCACTTTCCGACGTCACGAGATCTCAAAGGGCGCGTTCTCACCTCAGTCCCACAGTGAAGTTCGCCTTGGTCTTCAGCACCAGAGGTTGCTGTATACTCGGCATACTCGCCATGACGGGTTGCTTTTCCACCACTAAGGCACTGAAAAACGAGGCGCTTTGCAATCAGGGCTACGCTGGAAATGCAAACGATGCATGTCGACGACGCAGCAAGAGTTGCCGCGGCGCGTCGTACCTGGAAAGAAGTTTAGTCATCAAAGACTGCGTGAAGGTATTTATTTCCGCAAGAGGGCCGCCGGCGCCGTGACGGAGCTCGTTGGGGTCCGACAGCTGGGTCAGATGCTGCTTGACTTGTTGGAGCACCTCAGCCAGACTTGTGAAGCTGTGACACACAAACACACAAAAAGAGCAGAGAAATGAATACGCTTCCATCGCAACGTGTGGGTCAACAGAATACCGCGAAGGTGGAGAATTATGGAACAATTTCGACAGCTGTCCACTTTGCATGTTTGAATCCCGCTAATTTTACTCCCCCCTCCACAAATGGATCTTGATGGTCGGTCTCCATGCGGTTATTCATTCACTTGGACACTTCAAGTGCTTGCTGAGCGCGCTGGCAGCGGGACCAGGAGGACCCCCGGAGCTCAGACCGGTGCGGCTGCCTCCGGACGGTTGGGGGGGGGGCTAAAAGGACCTTCAGAAGTGGAGTACTATTTCCTAACCAGTTCTGCAGATGGTCCAAGCGGGTGTCGACGGGACTTCCGAGGCAGGCCAGCTGCTGCCTCCGCTTCCAGCCAGGCAACTCCACAGTCGTAAGCCTTTCCAGCACATCCGCCGCCGCTTTTGAGATGTTCCAGATCTGCCGGAGTACTATCTGCAAAAAAAGAAAAACAACAAGGCTTCATATTAACTACTCGCCTCAATTTTGACATGTCAGGTTTGGCTCGTGTTGGAAAATTACAGTTTAATCAGGTGCCCCCTCCCCCCCCCTTTTTTTTTAATTCATGCTATCTATGCATGTTTCAGTCTTTCGCCTCCCTTTCGCTCCACTGCTGGTTGTCTTGACAACCAAAAGCCGTCCTGAGTATCGGCTCCCGCAACAGTCGTTGAGCAGTGGCTTGTCTGCACGGCACTAGCTGAGCAGTTACGGTGTTTGAGACTACAAAATTTTTTTAATCAAATCTCACTGTGCCCCGCCATTCAGAAAAGCATCTGTTGGACAAAAAAATAAATAAAAATAAAAAAAGAATTGAGAGCAAATTCGGAATCATTGCAAAAAAAATAATCTAGAAAAGTTATTTGCATCTCTGATTTCACAAAATGCGTAAAAATGTTATCGACCATTGTCACGATGATGGACCTACTGCCATCTAGTGGTAGAGCATTCATTTGCGCTGCCTCTCATTTTGTGTCACCGGCATAGATAGATGACAAAGCATACATGATTCGGGGTGAATAAAGAATCATGCTTTGACCGCTGCACAAGTGAGCAAGCGTTGGGACGGCGTATCGGCATCACCTGCTTTGTCTGCCCGAAGAAGTTGGCCTGTTGCTCGACGTCCTGAGCCGCTAAAAGCACAAAATAAAAACGGACAGCGTCACGCTAAAATGTCCTCGCGGGCTGTTTTCCAAAAATAGCGTACCGTGTATCGAACGGAGGTTTTCATGCAGCCTTTCCAGTGACTCGATCTCAATGCTGAGCTCCTGCGTTTGGGTTCAATTGGCGGACGTTAGCGATGGCAGAGAGACAATTTCAGGGGCTGACGTCAACGACCAACCTGAGACATCTTCTTCAGCTCTCCAATTCGGGATTCCAGTTGCTTCTGAAGGAATAAATGTGCCTTTTAGTTGCCATGTACTCCTACATCCGTATATTTTTAGTTATCATACATTCTTTGTCTTCATGTGTTTGATTCCATCATATTCTTATATTAATGATGATTGTTTTCGCACACCGGCTATGTGCAAAGAAAGAATCACTTTCCCCATAGCAGATCGAAACAGGGCTGAGAAAGAGGAGTAAGGTCGACACAGAGTTGTCCAAAATGCTGATTGATGACCGCTACATGACCTCAGCACTCGAGACGGTCTCACAGACACTCTGTAACCTTTCACCTTTATGGAAGGCAGAGGTTTAACTGCTCAAATTGGTTTCACATGTACCCAGATTATTCGACACATAACACATCTTGCCTGTAAACAAAATAGTCCCTGGAGTGTCTGTGAACCAGTCAAGTGTGAGACTAAAACGCCAAAGTAAATCTGGTCTGAGTTGCTAATTCGCCAAAGCGCGTCTGTGGGCGAGCCCTGACAATGTTTGCCACATTGATATGTCGCATTTACTTGAATTAAATACATGTTGAATAATATCATTCTTTTCACCTGTTGCAAGATTTTCTTCTCCTCCTCCAGGCACTCACATAGGACAGCGGCGAGGCTCTTTGGGTCATTTCCAAAATGATTCTATGTGAAAATTTAAATTATCTGGTGATAGGAATTTTGCATGCGTAAAAAAATAAATAAATAAAAATACATGGTCAAAGAAGCAACATGGCAATGTAAAGTCTGGCCTACCAGCAGGTATTCTTTGATTCCTGGCAGATCTGGGCCCTGCAAAATGTTGTTATCTTTTACACAACGGCCCCACTCTTCTTCCAAGGAATTCAGCAGAGAGTTGAAAGAAGTCTTCGCTTTGAGGTCATCGACAGATGCCGAATGCCTGACAGCGACACAACAAAGGCATAAAGCCATACAGATTCCAAATGTACGGTACAGCAGAGGACATTTCTACATCAAAACATGCAAATTTAAGTTATTTTTAGAACCAAGTTTTGTATTCAACCGATTATACTGTTAATTAATTGAGTCATCGGCTAGAACAATATACCGAAATATCCGGACAATAGTGCGCACCTGATTATAAGCCGCATCCACTACCTTTTCAAAGGAAAAAACATAAGCCGCAGGTGCCCACATTGGAACATGAAATACTTACAAAGGAAGACGGTAGACAGAAAGAGCTTTCAAAGTTTTAGTAACGTACCTTAACTTTTCTTTCCAAATAGTGCCTGATACGCGGAGGCACCTCGGAAGTAAAACAGCACTAACAGGGCTGGTTAAAACCCCCCCATAAAAGTCACTATTCGCCATCGAGTAATGCTTTCTTTTCTATGACAAAAATCCTCGCTTGCCGTACCACTCGTCAACCGTTCCTTTATTAGGCTTTCTACCATCGACGCTTTCGTGTCAACTTTCACGACGTCTTTTTTTTTTTTGACATTGTAATCCTTGATGGATGCAGAGAAGTCCAAAACACAGGTCAAGTGCGCCCTCTTCTGGCCGGCTGTTCTTAGTGTGACAGATGATCGCGTCTTCCTCGACGGGGCTGTATACCAACTCTTACCTTTTATGCTCGAGCGCCCCCTGGCGGCCATTAGAAAAATCGTTATATAGGCCGCTTCATTAAATAAGGCGCAGAGTTGAAAGCGTGTGACAAAAGCTGCTGGTTTTATTGCGGAAATTACGGTACACAATAATAAAAGTACAGGTACATGTGATGTGCAGGTATTGTTGTTTTTCATATCAAAACCTGTGCATGTATTTAGATTTCCTGGGAAAATGGAAGACCCTTTGCCTTGACCTGCACGCATGCTAAATTTTAATGCATTTAAATCAAAGAGAACTTTTAGGATTACAAAATACTTCCCCAGCCCTCCCCGAGAACCCGTCATGCAATTTCAGTTGGTCTGGGCTCTGACTGGGCCTTTTATTTATGATCTTTTTTCCCTTCTCACTTTTAACAGTCGACTTTCTGTAGCCGGCGCACCTGGGTTACTTGTTGCTTTGGTCATTCAATGTGACTGTGGAACTTACCAGTCCTGGTTCTCAATCCAGACGCTCAGATAGTGGCGGATATGTCTGGGGAATTTCCTTTCGTACAGCTGAATCACCTGCGCCTGGAGGGCTGAGTCCAGACTCAGCAGGGCCTGCCACTGCGCCATCTCAGGCACAGTCCACCTACAACCGCAACCTGTGGCTGATAAATCATGTTAATCCTCATCGGAGATCGATTATGGAAATGGCACTTGCTATAATCGCATGGATACAAATGGTTGGCTTTATGGAGTGCTTGCCCACCCAGCAATCAATGAAATGTTTTGTTCGCTGCTTATTTCCCCAAAGGCATCAGTGCTTTCACTGTTGGGTATTTTGACGGCCGTGTACGTAAATACGGCGCCCGCACCGACTCTCTCCGCCTTCGAATCAAAGACCCGCCGCTTTCAAGGTATGACATTATTACGTCAAAGTAAGAGGTAATCTTATCAGAGTATGTAATCAGAGAAGGGTCAAGAAAGCAGAGTGGAGTGCCAGTCAAAGTCATGTTGTGTCTTACTCTGTGGGTGTGGGTGTGTGTGTGTGTGTGAAGATACAGCTGGCTTTAAGAGGCAGACCCGGTAGTCTGGCACATATTGGTGACTTTGTGAATGCGTGGCCGACAACAGCTCTCGTGTGAGAGTGCTCGTTGTGTGTTTTCAAGTTTTATGTTCTGCCAACACTCAATAAACGTCTGGAAAGTGCATCAGAACGGGGGCTCTCCTTTCCCACATGCAAGGGCATTACAATAAGCACACTGGATCCGACTACTATAAGCCGCAGATTTTTGCAATGAATTGGGATATCCGTGAAAGACGGAAAGAAATCCCCACTGGTCAGCTCGATGCATTCCAAAGGAGGTCTTAAAGTCTCAAGGTGTGTGAATGCAAAACAAATAAAATGAAAACGCATGTCATTGCGGAGATTCAAATTCAGCTGTTGTGCCATATTTTGGCCCGGTAGAACTTTCCATTGTCACGTTACAATGATTTACTGTACTGTGATAAGAGTTGTGGTGAGGGGCAAAAATAAAGACTTGCCACAGCGTGACGAGTTGGAACTCAAGCAAGCAGCGGCTGAGTTAGCATTAGCTAATCAGAGTAGCAACATTGGGCTCACGAGAAACAACTCAGGGAATAACCACCGCAATCGCAACGTGTCTCTGTGTGTATAAACAAACAAAAATGGACAAGAAGCACTACCTACCGTGTCGCAGAGCTTGTCGGAGAGCCACAGAGCACCGTGCGCGCCGTGTATTCCAAAGTCACAGAATGAGGAAGCCGGAGGCGGTTTCGCACCGGGAGTTGCCAAACAGCATGGCCACGTGAATTCGACGAAAATACACTATACCCCCCCCCCCCCCCCCACGTTCACCCCGCCGCGGGCCTCGCCCACTTGCTTGTGTGAGCGTGCCGCTCTGGCCTTATGACGTATTGTCACTTCCGCACGCGAAAACGGCAATCCGGGTCCTGTCACAATGTGCTTTCCTTGAGGAGGCATCAGGTCAATATATTGAAAATGCCATGTCAATTTAAACACAATTCAATCAAGCCTCCGTTTTCTCTTGCTCTTGTCCGCTTTCGAGTCACAAGTGAGATGGCGTCTATCGCGTCTGCCTCGGGTGAGATGCGAGGGAAACCCTCCACTGGTACACAGAGATAGCGCCCCCCCCCCCACACACACACACACACACACACACCCACACACGCACTGAATTTCTTGAAACAGCAGTGCTTCGGCGTCATCTGGTGTCCAGGAAGTTTCCGAAAGTGAGTTGAAGAGTTCCAGTCAGACTATCATATGGCTTTTCCAGGCAAGTACAACACTTTTGATTGAGTTGCCAATTACTTTGCGATAATTAGCTTTTGAGTTGCCAATTACTTAGCGATAATTAACTTCTGAAACGCTAGCGCTTACGTGGTTGTGTTTTTTCTTTGGGTGGTGTTGTGTCCATTTGCCACATACACACAGTGTAATGTATGATTTGCTCCTCCCATGATTTCAGTCTGCATCAACTTTTTTTTTTGCCTTTATTTATCCACTGTAACACAGTACAACACGCAATGCACTAAAATGCCCAAATATAAGCACAACAAAAATGCTTAGCACACGATCAGATTAGCGGGTTTTTATTGGCTGGCTGGCGTCGTGTCCCGGGAGTCGACTTTTCCCTGAATCCGGCTTTACTCTGAATATGGAGAATTAATCTGGAAAAAATCAGGAACAACATCATGTTTAGCGTGACAAATCCAATGAGGTCCAGAGGGTACTTGGAAAACGATGGACCCGACCGAACATGGAACCCATTGCAACTCACAACATCCATGTCGAAGCACAGGGTCTGGTTGAGCATGTCAAACTCTCCCGGGGTCATCGGAGGCTCGGGCGAATCGCAAGCTGGCGATGGGGGGCTCACCTTGGAGCTGCTGCAGAAGAACCACAGAGAACAAATGACCGGGAGGCTTCTCTTGACCTTCTGATCTCGCTACAAGGTGTCAAAGATGGAGCCGGTGTTCTTATCCGGAGAGGGATTAATGAAATGATCGGCGTTGCAGAAAATCATCATCAAGTAGAATTCTTCCCTATTATTAAGGTGTCCGGTTTTTATTTTATTTTTTTATTTATTTGTTGTTGACTACCTCAAGGGTGCTAAACATATATCTTCTATAGTTTAAATAGCAAATAGCGTAAGTGCTCGGGGTCAGAAGGACTCCACCATTAAACTCGTCCATTTTCAGACCCTTCGTTACCCTATCACGTGAAAAATTGGGAAAAATACATCAAGCTGTACCTGGGATCGAATGCCCGGATTCGTAAAAAAAAGTTCCTCGGCATTGAACGAGTTAAGTTAGGGAGTATTTTTCAATCTGTCGAAAATATATTTGAATGTGTTATGAGCTCACCGCATTTCAGAGCAGGGGATCAGGGTGGACGGTATGTATGGGTAGGCTGGAAATTTGAGACAAAAGAAATTAGACTTTGACCAACATCAGTCAAACAACGTTTTGAACTGAAAGTGGTGCCTTTGCTTGGCAGATTGTTGTAAAGCTGTCCAAAGGCCTCGTCTTTGGGGATGTCGGGATAGAGGAACTTGAGCGGGTTCTTGGGGACCACCCCGTCCGAGATCACCTTGTAGTCCCGGATGATGTCGGGAAAGTGGAGGGCGTTCAGTCGGCTTTTGGTGTACGGCTCCACCGAGTTGAACGTCGCCTCTCCTGTTGTGGAGGGGGGGAAAAAAAAAAAGTGCCGCTTTCAGAAAAAAACTTGTACGGCCGGTTCGGTGCTCTCAGGATGGTCACCGTCGTCGCCGTGTTGCACCCAGGTGAAGGTGATTCCTCCAAGATGGCTCTCGCTGAAGCGCAGGAGGAAAGTGCCCGACTTTTTCTCCCGCAGCAGAGCGCGCTCCATGTCTTTACTCACAAAACCCATGATGTAGCTGCATGGACAGGCAGGAGACAAAAAAATATAAATATAAAAAAATAATATTCAAAAATTCCCCCTCCCCAACCAGTTTCATCTATCGACATGCATTTCAGAGACGAGTCCATCAAAACACAACGCAGGAAAAAGTCTCAATGACTTGAACAGAAGGTGGGGGATTTTGGTTTGAAGCAGACATTTTAGGTGAATACCTGCAGGAAAGGGAAGTTAAAAAAAAAAATTCACCCTGAAAACAAACTGATGGAAACCAAATTGGGTGGCCCAATCTATCAAAACGGTGCATGAAAAAGTCACCCGATGCCCGAAACGTAAAAGCAGCTCAACCATTTTGGTTTGAATGGGTCATGTGGGGTGAAATCTCCAGAGAATCAGTGGAATGTTGGGGGGAGGAAAAAAACAAAACAACTCCTCACAAAACTTGCTTCACATATTAACAAAAAAATTGACAGAGATGTCGATGAAAACAGGATGCACGAAAAAGTCTTCTTATCAACCCAAGTGCGAAATTCACTCAAATTAGCCCCGATCAGAATCTGGCGTCTGAAACGGACACCTAAATTGAGACACTATTTTGACCTACGATAAAAGCAGGCGCATGGGCCTGTTGACTGCTGCTTAGATTTTGCTTCTTTTTTTTTTTAAACTTTAAAACAGACAAGCTGACCCATAACATATGTTTTGTTGTACAGTGGCCCCTCATACTTGAAATTGAACCTAATATGGACAAGAAGAGACCAATAAAAAATGACACAAACTCATATCACGAATGGAAAAAAAAGAAAAAAATCATCCAATGAAGAGGAAAGTTACTTGATCAGAAGCCCGCAAACGGTACAAAATGAGACAGGACAAAGCCAGCAGCCCTTTTTACTTTTCATTCCACACAGGTAGCAAGTGCTTCCGGATCAATTCCAGGATGGAGTCCAGCCATGTCCAGAAACTGAAAGGTTTGCCTGGAATATTCTCCTGAGCAAAAGAAAAGAAAAGAAAAGAGAATATTATTTAAAAAAAAAATCAAATAACAGCACCTGCAAAGATCTCTCCAAAATGTGACGTTTGCAACATTTGCAGAGTTCCAACTCGCACTTCCTGCATTGTGCGCTGCATTCAAAAGCAAAAACACAGCACTTCCGCTAGCGGTAGCAAAAGTAGCGGACACAGGGTCACCTTTGCTCCAAATCAACATCACGTAAACCGGCGTGCCAATGCAGCACGGCTACCCAATTTGGTCGCCTGATCCAGGTCGCCGCCCAAGCCGAATATTCAAGAGACACGCAATGATCAGCTCCTTTGTGATTTTAATCAGAACGGGGACAGAAAATGCTCACATTCCACTCGTCTACCCTGCTGTTCAGACGTACCTTCGAAAACTTGGACCAGTGGATGTGGTCACTATTGGAGAAGTGTTGACCTAGAAACATTTGTCACAAAAAAAACAAAAAAAAAACAAGGACATCAGTGGTGGCAAAAGGAGAAAAGTTGCAAATCTCAACCACTTTCTGGGCCAATCAAACCGAGAAGCTTTTCTCCCAACATGTCGAGCTGGTCCTTGTTGAGGCCCTGAACGGAGTTTGTGCAGAACTGCCAGCTGAGAACCTCAGAGAGCTGAGCCCACGTGGCTCGCGTCGGACTGCTGAAGTAGGCCAAATTCTGCGGGAGGACGCCAACGCGCGCGAGTTATTGGACTTTGATCCAATCCCAACTGCCCTGGACACAAAGTTTCTCCTCTTCGGACATAATTAGGCAAGTGGACCTGATTGCGCAGTCAAAATGGTTTCAATTGTATCAATCAATAAATACAAATAAAAAACAACAAGGTGCATCTCGTGACTCCCTTCGGAGAAGCTGTCAGAGCGACGGAATGGCTGACCTGGGGCTGCTGGTTCAAAAGGTTATACCACATGATGGAGGCCCAGGCGCCCGGCATCTGACTCACGTTTGAAATGACCACCAGCGGCAGGGAACACGTCTGCGAGCATCGAGGCCCCCATGAAAACGGCGTTCTCAACCACAGCGGCCAAATCGAGACGCCGTCGGCGCTGACTTACCTCCAGATCAATGTTCAGACCCTGCATTGTAAAGTGGGCCTCAAAACTGAGAGAGTGAAGTTCTTCTGTGACGGAGAGCAGACTCTGGAATGCAAACAATTCATTGGGTTAAAAAATAAATCAGGAGCTCTCAGGAAAAAAATTGGTCATTACCTCATTGCTCTTTGTGGCATTGCCGGATTTCTTCTCCTTCAACTGTTGTCACGGACAAGTTCCGCGTCAAAGCAAAAACACACAGCGGTCAATGTGGAAGGGGATGCGAGACCCGGCCAAGCTGCAAGTCATGCAAAACTTTTGACAAGTAACGTACTCCGTGTCTGAAATCCACTGAAAGGCAGCCGTTGGAGTAGTCCTCAATATCCATCACTTTCATAGGGTTGGTCACGATGAAAAACTGACGGGTCCTGAGGCGAAAAAAAAAAAAAAAAAAAAGTCAAATGACGCGTTGATTGTTGCGCGCGTCGGATATAAAAAATTTGCTCGGATTGCAGCGGAAAAGCGAGAGTCTCGCTTTAAAAGCCGCCATGCGTCTGCATAGACATTTCATGATAACTTTCCTGGGACGCTCCTCCGCAAACAAGAGCGGAACATTCCATGTCGAGGTTTTTTTGTACTCACACTCTGCCAGGAGGGAGGTCCCTAGATACATGCACACACACAGACCCCAAAAAAATAATTCAGAAGGAGATGCAGTGACGTAACACCTGGAACGAAGAAGAAGAAATACTCACTTGTCGAACGTTGTTCTCACTTTGATCTGATAATCCACCGCCGGAAGTTGAACCAGGAGCCTACGTGATGAAAAACGCGCATGAACCGCTTGATGTAGCGTCTCGGCTTTGTCGCGACCGGAAGAGTAACTGGAGCGGTCATTCAAGTACGAGCCCCGGACTGTGTCCAAAATGGAGGTTTCAAACCAAAATGGCGGACTCCTTGTTCAATTTCAAGCACTGCTCCTTGGGACCATTTTGACCATCGGGGGCGGGGCTAATGTCAGGGCCCTCTACCACATTGCACCAGGATACGCGCTTGCAAAAAGCGATAAGTTTTCAGGGGCATCGCCGGTACGCCCGCCTCACAGTAAGAGGTTCTGGGTTCGAATCTCGGCCCAAAGCGGCAACTGACCTGACTTTCGTGGCGAACTGCACCCCGGTCTTGATGACGAGAGGTTTCTGCGGATGCGTCGACATGCAGGGCTGCTTCTCCACCACAAATGAGCTGAGGGCACGCAAACGCAGACTCGGCTTTGAGATTTGTCCTTGCCGCCTGGCGGTTCGCCGTTCGCCGCACCTCTTGACGATGTGGTAGATGAGGTAGTGAACGCGCTCGTCCATCTGAGGTTTCTGCACGGGGATGGGGTCGCTCTCGTAAGTGACTTTCAAAACCAGCTCCCCGAGCTTGTCCAGTTGCCGCTTGACCTGGAACAGACTCTGCGCCGTCAGAGTGAACCTGGACAAAGGACGGGAGAAACGGACCGGATGACGTGATGTTCGCCGTGATCACCCGCGCGCCCCTTTCGCCTCTTTGTTGTGCCGGGATTTTTTTTTTTTTTCTTAATTTCCTCTCTCAACTATCTGATCTTCTACACAACGTCGCAAATTAGCGACACCATTTTTGTATCACCTCCGCTGACACGTATCATCCGACAAGCACGTCATTCTCATCCATGTCGATTACCAAGTCTGCAGCTGGTCAAGGCTCGTGAGCAGCGGACGTCCGATAGCGGCCATTTGCTGGTCGCGCTTCCAGTCGCGGAGCGCCGCGTCGAGCTGAGAATTCATCAGGTCGTCAATCTCCTGGATGACCATGGCTAGCTTGGACAAAATCTCCTAGCAAAAGAGTTGAAAAGCAAAAAAAAAAGTCTTGTCAGATGAGCCCGCCCAAAAAAATGTTGTGAGTCGTTTTTATGATTAAAGTCCTTCTGCTTAGCTTCATAAATGCTATCAACATTTTTAGACATGTTTTCTTTTGAGTTGATGTTGCAATCTGGCTCAACATCGCTCAGCAGGGCTCTCGAGGTCATTCCCAAGGTGGCACGTGTGCTGTTTTTGAGAAAGCAACGTGAACGGGAGGGTTGAGTCAGAGACCTTCCTTTTGAAGTCAAGTCTGTTGAGTATTTCCTGTAGTATTGTGACTTCCTGTTTCATGAACTCAGAGTTCCTCTCAGACGGATCTGCGGGCACATCGACACAACATTGTTATGAGCGCGGGCGGGCGGAAGTTCAGTCCCGCTCTTCTGCTTTCTGGGCGCGGACCCTACCTCGAGATTGCAGCGTCTTGTAGCGGAAATCAAAATCATCCTGCATGTTCTCAATGTATTTGACTCCTTGGTCCATCATCTGTGCACAAATCCCGTTTTTTGCTTTTTATTGTTATATATTTTTTAATAGGAGATGCACTTCAACAATTCACGGCATTTCATGCACTGAATATCGCGGAGTTACCTGCACACTTGTCCGGATCATCCCGATTCGGTGGTCCATGTTCTTATGCCTCTCAAGGGCCACCGAATTTTGCAGGGATTTCTCCAGTGGTTTGTGACAAAAAAACAGTATGGGGGGGGGGGGGGGTTCATGAACAAATGTCACAGGCGTGACACGTCTCCTTTACGGATGCTGCCGTAATTCTCGTTAGGGTTCGAGTCAGGGGATGATTGTGGGGTTATCTGGGGGGAGGAGGGGCTTTTCACACACAAACCTGCTGCTGCATGCAAGCAGTGGAGAGGATCCGCCGTTCTTCGTTGAGGCAGTTGGATATCACCCTGGCCATGGCTGCCGGGTTGTTGGCATATTTCCCCTAGAAAGTAAGATGGCAGAAGACCTGATCTCACTTGGTAAACTTGCAAGTAAAATGTTGCTTACTTCCGTAGACATAAGTAATCGTTTTTTTAATGTAGCATATTTTCAATCTTATGCTTTATTTTTTATTTTTTAATCATGTTTTATGTTGAGAGGGAAGAAATTTCATCTGTGCTGTACAGCACATTTGACAATAAAGTTGTATTCAATTCAATTCAATTAATGTATGACTCGTTTTGAAAATGACATCTGTGTGTTGTGGTGACCGAGAACATGACTGCTGTTCCTGAGAGAGGAAAGGAAATAGCAAAGTCAATCAACAAACCACTGAGAGACGGTAAATATGAACTGAAAGGGTTCATCGTTGCGGAGCGAATGGTGACGTGGGATTTATTTTCTTTTGGATCATTAAAACGCCCTCGGTCAACATGATTGCTGTTCCTGAGAAAGTGATTCAACAGGAAGAGTTGGGCATTAACAGAGGACTCAAATATTTGATGTAAATCTGATGATAATTGAAGGCTGGCACCTTGTCATTTCCGAAAGACAGAGTGAAAGCGGGTTTGTTGTTGTATCAGGTGACAGCAAGCCACAAAGCAAACAAGAGCTCAAAGGCATGTTAAAAATGAAACCGACCTTCACTTCTGTATGCTCTTCAGTCTACAGCCCCAAAACAAACAAATGTTTGCAGTAAGTGGCCGACCTGTAACTGCTGCTGGATGATCTTCATGTTGTGTCTCTGCAGAAAGTTGTGTTCCCGGGATAGCGCCGCCTCCAGCTGGGACAACAAGCTGAAAAACAGCACCGCCGCCGCGGAGTCCTCGTCAGCGGCCGTGTCCCTAAAGACCGACACAACATTCTGAGGGTTTTTTTTTTTACATTTCTTATGCGGGCTAGTCAAAGTACAATAATGGCTGAACACACAGTGGCTGTTGCGGGCGTGTGGCCCAGTCCAAACAATGAGACATAATTAGGCAAATCGAAAGAGAGGAGATTTTCATCGACGGGGTTTTACATCTGGATCGGGGACAGGGTTGGACCTGAGGTAGGGTGTAAGAGCAACGTGAAATCCAGTTTGCTTGGAAAAACAAGATGACTCAAAAAAATAATAAATAAATATATTTTTTGAAAATGCATTAACAGCAAAAGAGTTCACCTGTGGCAGTGGTCAAGTCCATCATCAGACTTAATCCCTAAAGAGCATGTATTTTATCATTTTAAAAGACGATGTAACTTTTTATTGAAAATATTACGCTTTTTTTTGTTCTGGAAAGTATGCAGCATTAAAAAAAAAATGTGAAAAATATAGGACATTTTTAAACACAAATATGGATTTTTTTCTTGAAAAATATACACATTTATTTCTCGGAAAACAGTACTTGAAAATGTGTGAAGTATTCTTTAAAAACATAGGATTTTTCTCTTTAACCGACAACGTTATTTCTTGAAAACGTATGGCTTTTTCTTGAAAATGTGAGCTTGTTTGCAAAATAGTAATAATAATAATTTTTTAGGACAAACTATAGAAACTTTTGTGTTTTCTCTTACTCACCAATCCTGAGCCTCAATCCAATTGGCCAGACCCTGCCTGATGTCCATTGGAAAATTGTCATCATACAAATAATCCACCTGCTCCAGGAGCCTCATCTCCAGTTGCTGAATTTGCTTCCACTGGCTCATTCTGCACACCTAAATGAAAACTGCAGTGTCTTGTTTTCAGCTAAAATACATGTTGATGGAATAAATTAGCTTTCCATCCAGATAAAGACCCGTAATTACCTTTTGTGTTCTCCCGTCGGTGTCATTCAACATGTGCACGTTGAAATGTGACTTTCGTTTTCAGGGCACTTCAGACTCAGGAAGTCTTCTCGTTTTGCACTTAGAAAGCTGCCCATGTTTGCACGGTTTTAGAGTGACGTTTTACCATTGTTTTGATGTTCTTTTAGCAACAATGATGCTAATAAACACGTTAAGACATGATGAATTGTGTATAATTCAGATATTTTACAAAATTTGGAAACGTCGTTTCGAGCAGAGGCCTCCGGTGCTGTTGGCGGCGCTACTGCTAATTTTCGCAAACGATGAAAAATCAGTAACGTTTGACTTTTTCAGTCTTAAGTAAACACCATAGAAAACGTGAAATGTATATTAACAAAATACGGACATTTAAAAAAGCAAACCGCCGTCGGTGTGTTTCTGAAGGCATCGATGACGAAACTGCGACGAAAAAGCTTAGTTGGCTTTTGCAAGATACGTAGCCCCGTCCGCCATATTGCATGTGGCACACCAATCCGTTAACAGTGAGTTGAACTTCATAAAACGCCAACTTGCAAAGAGTACAAAGTTAGAGCCTCTAACTTAAACACACTAATTTCGCCGGGAAACATAGGCACTAAAGCATTTTAACTTGATGATCATAAATTTTTTCAATATTCATTATCTGCTACTTTTTGTCAAAGTTGAGGACACAATGACCAGGTTGAGTTACAGTTCTTTCACTCTGGTTGGGCTAAGTCATCCACTCAAGTGAGTTGGTCTAAATGAATCATTTGAGGTGTGTACTGAGTTTCTATCCCACTATTACTGATAGAGACCTAACCATCATATCGTGTGTAAATATGGGCCACCAACCAGTGTATAACCAGTTGATTTATTGATGTTGTTCTTTTAAACAGATGAGATTCACTGATGAGAGATCACCCGTTTCAACTCACTGCCTTGAGTCAGTGAACCATCATCAGGAGCTGCGGGTTCCCTGGTGAGTAAGCTGATTTAAATCAAAGATAAACGTAATCATCGACTAACTCTTCTGAGGTTGCCGTGTGTCCATTGAGTCGGCGATGTCAGCAACCGTCCGATGCCATTCACTGTGTTTCGGCCAACTGTCATATAGAGTCAGTCGCTCGGTTCAGTTGAATCAGCCAATGTCATATAGAGTCAGTCGCTCGGTTCAGTTGAATCAGCCAAGTTCGCGGTATTTGTCATCGGCCCACTAACTCGAGTCAACACATGACCTCCCAATTAAACAGAGTTTACCGTTTTTCCAGTGAGACAGCTAACTTGAGTCAGTCATGTGATTGAACAGATTCAACATTCACTACAAAACCTTTTCGGATAGGTGTTCAAAATACCAAAATCACTTAAAAACTCTTGTTGACCCATCATTCATGCGTCAAGGCCAACTCGTGTCTTGATATGTCAAAATGGTTCCATTAAGGCTATGATTTTATGGGTGAAAATGGCAAGCATAAACAAACGTCAAGAACAACTATTAAAATCATCAATACCGTCCAAAACACATCTTGACATAAGGGCCAACAAAATTGACCGTGTGTCAAGACGCACGCAGCGCATTTCCAAAAGGTTAAATAAAGATTCATTTTATGCGTGGAAATGGGAACTACATACACACATCCTCATACTTGTAGAACATCCTCCAGTCAGGTCCTGAACCGTTGCAGTCGGTACGCACCAACATGTTGCGGATGCATTCATTCAAGTTCGGGTTCAGGCTTTTTTGAGGGGTTCCCGCAGGGTTTTCTTTCTTGCATTGCCCCTCAATCTAAAAGCTTGGAGTGCTCTATCCGCGTAATGGTCCAGTCCGGCGCCACACCTTTGGTAAACTCCCTTTGAAATCTGTAAGCGTTCCAAAAAGTGAAAACATCGACAGTCAAAAGTTTAAAAAAAAAAAAAAAAAAAAAAAAGGGGGGGAGTTGAATAAGTGAGCGCTACAATTTTAAGCAATCATTAACAGGCACTACGGAATACCGTTTTAGTATGTTTGAATATGTTTAAAGTGTGTGGGAGGAGTAAAACTACAGTATATAAAAAATAAAGGTTTAATTCAGTCTCTCAATACAGATTTTAAACAATCGCGGGTGGGTGTGGGGCATACAGCAGTCACGTGATCATTACTGTTGTTGACACTTACTCATAGTTAGCGGTGAGCAGCCTCTTGCTCTCCGCCTCCCCATCTCCTCCGATGGCCATCTGGAACATACGAGTTCCCTCCAGAGAGTCATCGGGCAGACGCGCGCTGGTCAGGTACCAGAAGCGCATCAAAATACTCACAAACCTTCGCCCTGGTGGACGACATGGGAAGCGACATACTGTCTTCTCATTTCAGTATTTCAAGGCAGGAAAGAGCATTTAGAATCCTGAATTAAACTTACGCAGAAAAGTTTATTTCTTAAATTCGGGTTATTTAAACTTTAAGAGGTAATACCATTTCAGATGCCGTCGGTTGTACTCGACGCTAAAAGCAAAGTAATGCCTGAGGGGATTCGGAAATTGTGTTGGCGAGAGAAGGTGAAAACCATCGAGGAGATTTGATTGGTTTCCGGGCTGACCCTTGTCATCGTAGTAGATTCCCACGTCCCCCGGCGTGGTGTACATAAGCTCGTCGGGCTGGGCGGACAGCGCCGTCTTGTGGCTCGTTGGCAGAAGGCTGCACTTTTCCTCCAGCTTTCCGATTAACTGAGCCAAAAGGGTAATACAAACAAAAAAAAAAGAGACCACCTTTAAAACGCACCGAATACCGGGAGGGTTCCTTCCTTCAAGCTTGCGAAAATGTTGCCCCGTACTTACATCATTGGCCACCAGGCCCTCGAGAGCAGCAAACTGGCACTGGGACAGCAGCTTGGAAACATGGCAGAAAGCCTGTCGACAAACAGCACACAGGAAAACGATATATAAATAGAAAGCTTGCGCGGAAGCCACCCAGTGGTATATGTGACGTTATGGTGCACTCAGTGCATTTAATAAAATCCGACTTACCTGTTTAGCCCCTTCCGTAAACTCCTCTATGTTAAACTCTGAATCAAAATAGGCTCTGATGAGGAAGTAGTAGACCCGTGTCCGGAGCCAAATAAACGGGTTCGGGATACCGACGACCACCACCTTTTGATGAGATTTTGGTTCACGGCTGTCGGAGCTGTACGCACGCAGCGCCACCGATTCTCTGACCCGGGCAGGGGAGAGGACACATAACTGGGATTTTATACATTGATTTAGGTGGACACTTTCGTGGGTTGTAAAGCGACTAAAGCCGCGCAACGACGACAACTTCGAACAATTTCTTACTATGAAGAGCGCCATCTTGTTTCGACGGACTTCCGACCCGTCAATTTGGATCATCCGGCTGTTGTTTAACTTGTATTTGGATTTTATCGGTTAATAAGCACATTAATTTTTTCTCAAATATACAAAATTAAAATTTCACCCATTTAAATTATTTCAAATTGAATAGGCACATTTTAACTCCGCGTTGAAGACAAGGATATTTTTGTTGCTTTCCGTTTCTGTCAGTACATTTGGAATGTGACACCGTATTTCCTGCCCGTATTCTCGTATATTCCGCTCTCGATTGTTTTGAATGTTTGGCTTTATTGGTTGCCAAACACACCGAAAAGACTACGTAATTTAATAACTTGAATTGATATAAATGCTACTGAATACAAATTTTGGGGTTCACCTTGAATGCCATTTTTATACGAGGAAGTGTTGTTGCTGGCGGGATATTATGAATGTTACACAAAAACAGGGTACTGTTTTGTACATGCCATTTATGTTCCAGTTTCTGTTCAAATGGCGACCCAGGAGAAAATATATGTACCAGTGTTTACAGCGGTGGACAGGGATGTTTTTCTCCGACAGATATATCCAAAGGTAACATTTCCACTCACTACTAAGGTTTAGCATGCTGTAAACACACTTTTTTTTAGCCCTTAGCACATGTCCACTAAGGCACAATATGCCTCAGAATAAGCATTGCTTTTCTTGCAGGTTGTTGGCATATTCCGTGTTAGCATTTGAACATTTTTTTTTCAGCGGAAACCTGCCGTGCTGCGAGGAGTGTGTCTGGGTCCCTGCGTGGACAAGTGGACTGTGGAGTATCTTGCCCAGAAGGGAGGTGGCAAGGAGGTGAAGATCCACGTCTCCAGCGTGCCGCAGATGAACTTTCTTCACAAAAACTTTGTGTACAGGTGAGCTATATCTTCACTTGCTCACAATAAAAGCAGATTGAAACACAATCGTCAAAAGTCGTCAACATACCTCGTGGCGGGTGACAGGACACTTTCGTTCGATGAGTTTGTGAAGCGGACGTCTGAGGAGAAACACACAGATTTCTTCTTGTGTGAGGTACGCCTGAATACACACTCGCCCTGTGACAATCACGCATGTTCTAAAATCTTAAATCTTATTCTAGGACGAGAGCTATTATCTTCGGTCCCTGGGAGAAGATGTCCGAAAGGTACTCAGAAAAAAAATGACGATTTGATCTTTTAACGTCAGGTCTCAAGAAGCCATACTGGTTCCCTAAACCACTCAGAGAGTTTGCCAGTTTCAAGCAAACATTTTAGGGTCATTTGGCCATTTTCAGGTTAAGTCGTCCGATAGATTTTGACTTTGTCTACTGGATCGAAGGACGATACTATCAGCTTGCATGTGATTTGACTCATTCTGCCTTTGTCGTCTTTTCCCAGGAACCAGCTGACCTGCATAAACAGTTTCCCGAGCTAGCTGAGGACTTTCACATCCCAAACTTCTTTGAGCCGGATCTGTTTTTTTCCAGCGTGTTTCGCATCAGCTCCCGCCGTCTGCAGCTGTGGACCCACTACGACGTGAGTGCGGCAGCCAGGCGGGAAAGTCCACTTGGCTCTTTGAGATTCTTAGCCGCAAACTTTTCAGGTGATGGATAACCTTCTGGCTCAAGTGACGGGGAGGAAGAGGGTGGTCCTTTACAGCCCGCGGGATGCATTGCACCTCTATTTGACAGGCAAGTACGCTACGGTACAATGAATTGATTTCCATTGCTCTTTGGCATCTGACATGTGCATGAATGTCTGAAGTCTGATGATCATTTCAAGGATTTTTTTCCGCTGGAAAAAGGGGTTAAAAATAATCAGCCCAACACCAGCTCTACAAATCATGTACATTCAGTGGACAAGGAAAGGTCTCAAGGACCTATCCCAGAAATGAAACAAAAATCTGCCATTTTGTTTTGGAGCAGCCATATGGGGGCACATTCCAGGGTTGTTTTGGGTCATGAAAAAAAAAAAAGCTATAAAAGTGACGTATTTTGGGTTGTCTTCCTACTTTTTAGGCGACAAATCTGAGGTCTTGGAAATTGACTCACCAGACGTGAACTTGTATCCGGAGTTTGTGAAGGCAGTGCGATACGAATGTGTGCTGGAGCCTGGAGATCTGCTTTTCATTCCTGGTAAAACACCTTCAGTATTTCCAGCCGTCCATTTTCTCTCATGCTTTGTTGTCCTCATTCGGGTTGTGGGTGCCCTGCAGCCTATCCCAGCTGACCCTGGACTGGCGCAAAAATCTTTTTGTGTGCACTTTGGCAGCCCTGTGGTTCCACAACACCCTGGCACTCCAGTTTGGTGTGGGCGTCAATGTGTTTTGGCGCCATCTCCCTGCCGACAGCTACGACAAAAAGGATCCGTACGGCAACAAAGACCCCGTGGCTGCGAGTCGTGCCCTTCAAGCCCTTGAGAGGGCGCTGCGCTGTCTTGATGAACTCCCGCCAGAGTACGGCGACTTTTACGGTCGCCGCATGATTCAGCGAATCCGAGAGCGGACGTTTTGCGACTGCCCATCAAGCCCACAGGTGGCCTTGGAGTGATTTTACTCCATGCAGTGGGATAGAAAAGCTTGACGATTTGGTGTCACCATCGGCTTCGGATACCTGCTTCTGATTGGCTCGTTTGGTGAAATTCCCTCGTCGGAGATGGTCAAAGGATGGGCCCCGGAATTTGCGGCTTCACACCAAAATGGCTGGCTTCCTGTTCAATGTCCGGCATGGGTCCTCCTCGAGCCTTTTTTTGTGTGTCTTTGATAAAACATGACAGGTGAGGGTCAATGGCAAAATTGCATCAAAAGTTTTTGGACACTTTATTGCACAGAGATAACTCTTGTTTGTATGACACATTCACGATTAAAGCTTTTTTGTAAACAGTGAGGCAGGAAGTGCCCCAGTGTCTTTGACATTTTCACCGCTTTGAGTCCCGGATGTCACGTTTCTTCAGTATCGTCTAAAGAGTTTGGCGGTGAAATGCAGCGTGAGCAAAAACAGACAAAACACTCGGCAATGTGCGCTGTCATTTACAAAGACACACAGAAAGCACGCACACACAGGCTCACTCATTCACTCTTGAAAAAAAAAAAGTTGATAGTGACGCTACGGTGAACAAAAGGCAAGAAAGGCGGGCGACTTTTCAGCATCGTCCTTCATGTGGAGCTTCCGCTCAAAAGCAGCTTCCTGGTGTCTTAGCGGACACAATGAGAGATGGCACACGAGAAGTACGGCGTTCGCTACGGAGTCTGGGCCATGCCGCGGCTGGACTTCATCTTCTCCAGTCGCTTATTGAGATGGCTGTTGTTGGACTCCAGCTCGTCCACCTTGTCCAGTGCCGACCGCAACTACGAAGTGGCAGAGGGGCAGATGGCTCAATGTGGTTCTTCTTTTCAAGGTGCGAGTCATTACTTTAAAGATTGTGTTTTAATAACTTAAAAGTTTTTTTTTTTAAATACATGTATCACAAGTTTTCACAGAATGGCGATTCACCAGTATGGTTTGCAAAGCATTTTTACATGATTTCAAATATCCAAACTGGACGCTATGTATTCTTCAGGGTGACGCTGGAAAGTCAGTGTGAAATGTTAAAAAGTATTTTGGGATCATAGTTCAGGCGGCATTTGGGGTTTGAATCGATTAATCCAGGCGATGCTAAACATTTGGCGGGGTTGGGTCTTGCTACTTGGTTGACTCTTAATAAAGTTTGTACCTCTCGCTGCAGCTTCCTCTTTTCGGCTTTGAGCTCGTCCTCCACCTTTTCTGCATTTTCAGCCGCCGACTTGTAGCGGCTCACTTGACCTTCAAGTCTGCTCACCTGTGCAAAACCAACAAAACAGGCTCTATAAAACAGTCAAAAAATAATTTCCTTTGGTTTTGGAACAAATAATCGTCATCATCATACATTTTGCTCCAATGCAGTCACTTCTTGCTCAGCCTTTACGAGTTTGAACTTCATGTCGCTTATTTGCCTGCTGGAATCTCCTGAACAACAAACACCCAAAATGACTGAATTGCAAAAAGAAAGAAAGAAAAAAAAACCCTTGATTGATGTGCATGCTTACGCTGCAGTTCAATGATGTTGGGATCATTGCCGTTTTCCAAAGGTTCACTCTCTGCACTCCAACTGCCATCGGTGCCATTTTTCTGGCTTTTCTGGTCCACTTGAGCTTTGAGCTTCTTCATCTGAAAACACAGCGTGAAGAAAACGAACATGGAAGATCACAACAACCTACTTGAGTTTTACCCCCTTGAAATTTGGGGTGTTTACAGTTGCCGTATTTTACTGGGAGTATTTAAACCACACGCGCATCAACCTCACAGTGCAGAGGTCGTGGGTTCAAACCCGGCTCCGGCCTTCCTTTGTGGAGTTTGCATGTTCTCCCCGGGCCTGCGTGGGTTTTCTCCGGGTACTCCGATTTCCTCCCACATTCCAAAAACATGCATGGTAGGCTGATTGAACACTCTAAATTGTCCCTAGGTGTGAGTGTGAGCGCGGATGGACGTTCGTCTGTGTGTGCCCTGCGATTGGCTGGCAACTGGTTCAGGGTGTCAGGATGTTGGGGTCAAGTTATATTTGTTTCTATAGCCCTTTATCACAAACAAGTCACATGCCCACAGTTGACAAACGTTCACCTAACCCTCAAGATGGCAAGGAAAAAAATGAGAATCCTTGATAAGGGGTCGCAGATGGGAGAATTCCCCAATCCCCCTTCCAAGATGACCAGTCTTAACACAAAATGGTGCTATACAATGTTAGTTATGTGAGTCTTATTTCAATTTGAATCACTTTTGGGGGTGTTAACAGGAGCCATATTTGTACCAGTGTACATTTTTTTAAGGGGGGTCTCATTTTAACCTGCACAACCTTTTGGCAGTTTTTAGGGCCTATACGTTGGCCAATCAAAGGGGTTATTCAGAGCAGCTTCGCAAACGGTCGGTAACGATATAGAAATGTATTCTTTACATTTTATCAGATAAAGCAATGTCAGCTTACCTGCTCGATCATTTTTTCACGCTCGTCCACTAGTTTCCTCAGACGAATCTCTGGGAGGATATGGCGGGGGGGGCGGGGGAATAGAAATAAGTTTTGAGAACAAACAAACAGCAACAGGCCTCAAAGAGCATCGGGAATGTCTTGGGATGAACATGAAAATACAAATCACAACTGCACAAGGAGAAATAAGTGAACATACCGGGAGTGGGTGGAGCCAAAGGTGCGGTGTGAGGGGGTGCTGGGTTGGGAGGCAGATGCATGCAAAAAGTGCAGGCATCCATGGAGGGGTTGATGGAGCGCAGCGTGAGGGAGGTCGCTTAACATGCATACAAACTTGGGAGAGGAGGCCACGCGGCACAGACAACTGCAGCACACTCTCAAAAGAATACAGTCATCCTTTCGCTATTGGTGGGGTCAAATGAGCTCGGTCACGAAGAGGGAAAATCTCCAAATGTGTGCACTCGCACATTCACACAAACAGTCCAAGTCATTGAACTCATTTTTTGGCATTTAAACAGACTAATAAATGTTCAAGAATACAGGCCAACTGGATCAGCAAGGTAAACCTAACAACAGTATCACAAATCCAGCAGATGGCGCCAAAAGTAACAATTTTATTCCTTTTTTCTAAAGAGATTTTTTTTTCAGGGATAGGTTGCTAATTGTGAATTTGAAAATGCTGAACGGTGACTATTTTCACTGTACACAATGAAATGCTTGAAGAACAACATTTCCCAGTTATGACATGAGTGCATTCATTTTTTGTTTGATTTATTTTTTTTAATTGTGGATGGCCAGCATTGATTAAGTGCAATAAAAAGTGACCTACAGCTTGCATTGGTTTGCGCATGCCGTCAACCTAAACCCAGTCTAACCTCAACGAGACCCCCTAACCTTGAACCTCCTGACACCAACCCTAATTCCTGGCTCTAACCGTACGTTGAAACTCCAACCGCAATCCTAACTACTGACCCTGATCCTAATGAGAACTTCATACCGCAGCCCCAAAGCCTAAACCTCCAACGCCAATGCTAATCCAGACCAAAATACTAACCCGACACAGGCAACATTACGGATGAAATTTTGAAATTTGCAGATAACACGTTTCATTTTGCCCTGCGTAGAAAAACAACAACATTCAGTCTTGTTCTCAACTTTGTATACGTTAACTACAATGCAAAGAGCTGAACAGGTCCTTAAATAATGAAAACAAACAACAAAAAAAAACAACAACAAAATTTGAACCCAAAACAATCAACAGCATTATAGATTTTTTTTCTCGCACATACAACTGGCAAACAAAACTTCATGATGTCCATTCAAAAGCTACACATCCACCAATTAAGAAATAATCATTAAAACAAAAAGAATATCACACTGTATGTTTGTTTTGTAAGCGCTATGTCACCTTGCAGTCTTCTCTGCCCTTGCTCTTGCCCTTCTTTCCATTTTTCTTCCCATCTTTTCCAGAGAGCGGCGTCTCTCGGTTGCCGAGGGTCGCGCTTAAATCTCGCCGGTTCTCAACGGCAACCGATGCTTCTACCACTAAAGGCGAAGCTTCAGGTGGGATATGGTCTATGTCCGTGGTTTCTGGTACTCCGGTATTGGAAGACTCGCTATTGTCCTTCACGTGGCTTTGTTCGTTCATGTTGTCTACAGTTCCCAAATGTTCAGGTGCGGATTCCACTTCAACCAAAATGTGATCTGGCGTGGCGACGTATGTGCCAGCCTCGCTGTCCTTTGGCTCTTCAATGTTACAGTTATTATTGTTACTGGATTCATCTGGCAGGACTTCAACAGCCACGTCAACGCCCGGCTGCTCTGGATTTTCTGGTGTGGCGTCACGCGTACACGCCTCTCTATCCTTTTGCTCTTCGGCATGACTGTCGCGATCGGTATTTAATTCATTGAACAGGACTTCTTCAGTTCCCAGCTCAACTTCCTTCTGCTGCGGATTTTCGAGCGTTTCCATCTCTATGGCTTCGTCTATATCCATGTCATCAAAGTCAAAGGACTGCCCTTTCTCATCTTCATCCTCAACATCCTCCTCCCTGTCCTGTCGGTAGGTGTCGAGAGGAGGGACTTCCCGGTCACCTTGACTGCTTTCACGCTGCTCATGCTCCTCTGCAGGAGCACATTTTTCAAGACTGACTTCACATCTGGTGTTCTCGGACTCTGGGGTCTGAACCTCGGTGTCTGAGGTAGCGTCAGCACGCTCTTCGCACGGCAATGTCTGTTTGTCAGCAATCGCTTCGGCCTGAGTCTCCAAGACTATCTCTCCATTGTCAAGGTCGCACAAGGAATTCTCCATCTTGACTAAATCGAACAACTGCTCATTTTCCAACACGTGTTGATTTTGCTCGCTGAATCTGTACTCGCACTCTGCTTCCGGCTCCTTATCTTCTTGGTTTGGCAAAGTTTTCTGTTCCAAAGCGTTCTCAAAATCCTCATAGGTATCAGGAATTACCCCAACAGCCGGCTCCGACGGTGACATCACAGACATCGGATTCTGACTTTCAGGAGCTTCAAAGTGAGCTGTTTCACCATGGCTTTCAACTTCTAACATGGCTACCAAGTTTTCTTTATTATAGTTTGTAGTTTCAGAACTTGTTTCACGTTCACTATGGACAACACCTGATGAACTTGTGTCACCGTGGCCTGAAATGTCAACCGTCGTGGTCTCCTCTAAAACGGAGTCCTTGTCACAACTCTCCAAAAGAAGATCAGCGCCACTGTGACTCGGCTCTGGCTCCGACCCCTGAACGCATCCTTCCCGCACATCCGCAGAATCCAAACTTTCTTCTCCATCATGATCCGTTTTTGTCTGAACGAGTGGCGAAGTGAGAGAAAAAGTCTCCGTGGGGGCCTCCGGTTGAGGGATCTGTACTTTTCCAGTGTCCAAATGCTGTACGTTGGGCTCATTCGGATTGACCGTTTGCTCCACTGTGGATTCCGTGGGATCATTTGAGGTTTCCGTGTGATCCACCGGGTCAGATGCATCTACTCGTTGGACAACTGATTCAGGGAGGCATTCAACGGCGTTACCGTCGTTGCCACAGCCTGCAGCAGACTCATCCTTTCCTAAATCTTCTGTCACGCCTGCCATCTGAACGCTCGCATGAGCAGTCACATTTTCTTGGTGATTTTGTTCCTCAAGGGAGCCTCCTTTCTTTTTGCCTCTCCTCTTCTTTTTTTTCTTTTTCCCACGTGCATTAGCAGTCTTACGTGCCGCCGGCTTGGTGGCATTTTTATCTCCCTCATCGCTGCTTGCCTCAGCAGTTTCATGCTGCGGCTCAGTGTTGGACTCAGGATCTACTGTTTGGAGACCAGGTTCAGAATCTTCAGCAACTAGCACTTGGGAATGTAATTCTGAATCGTTGATATCTACTTGGAGACAAGATTCTGGATCGTTTGTGCATTCTTTTTGGGGATATGATTCGGAAGATTCTGGATCTTTTCTGTCTCCTTGGAGGGGATGTGATTCATAATCTTTTACATCTAACTGGAGACTAGATTCCGCATCTTTGATGACCTGTACTTGGGGACATGGTTCAGGATACTTAATATCCTCTTGGGGAAATGATTCAGAATCTTTGATATCTTCTAATTGGGGGCATGAGTCAACATGTGTGCTATCAGTTCTATTTTCTTGAAGACAAGATTGAGAATCTTGAACATCTACTAGGGGAACTGAGTCCAAACCTTGGATACCATCTTGAGGAAGCAAATCAGAATTGACTTGGAGACATAATTCTGGAACTTGTAGGTCGACAAAATCTTGGACATCTGCTTCAGGATAGGATTTAGAATCGTGCATGTCTTCTTCAGGACACGGTTCCGATTTTGGGGCATCCACTCGGCGACATAAATCTGAATCGTTTATGTCTTCTTCGTGGGAATTTGATTCAAAATCTTTGACTACTTGGAGGCAAGATTTTGGGTCTTTAACACCTTGTCCATGGGGACAAGGTTCAGAACATGATTCAGATTCTTGTACGTCTTCCTGAGGACAAGAGTCAAAATCGACAACGTCTACTTGTTGACCTGGTTCAGAATCTTTTACTACTTCTTGGTGAGCCGATTCTGACTTGTGAACATCTACTTGGCAACTTTTTTCATGATCTTCTTGGGGACGCAATTCTTTCACAGTTTGTACCGATGGTTCTGTCTTTGTCAAATGACCTTCCTCATTGGTTTTGTGTTTGTTTGGCTGTGTTTGAATAATGTCATCAGAGCTCTCTTCAATATTATTAATGATTTGTGCGTCTGTCTCCTCTAAATCAGAGTTGATTTGTGGATCTGTTTCCACAGGACTTGTTGCGTTTTCTTGAACTGTGGACCTGAGAACCATTTGATCCGTGGCAGTTGTGACTGCCAGCGCAATCTGCAAGCCATGGCTAAGGCAACTGTCATTTTCATGAACGGGCCTTGATGCCTCATCAGCATTCGAGAGCCTATCGGCGCTCAGGTGACTCATCTGGCCTTGCTCAAACACTTGTCCAGGCTGTTCTTGATCCACCTCTTCCTTTCCTCTACTTCTCAACTGAGTCTCCTCTGAGCTTCCTGAGAAATCATGAAGAGCATACTGTGATAGGAGGCCCAACGGAGACAACATTTTCAAGAGAAACCTTCAGTAGGAGAGCGACAGCAGAAGACAAGGCGAAGAACCTGGCTGAGTCAGAAAACCGCATAGGAGGAGGAGGAGGAGGAGGAGGAGGAGGAGGAGCATCAAGGGGAAGCTCGAGAGGTGGACAAGAAGACCGCGACTGACATTTTGACGATAAGCAAAACATCTGTGTGGTGTCGGTACAGCAGCACAAGTTACCTCAGTCACCACACCACATGACATCAGTAACATTCACAGCTTTTGTGGATGTTCAAGGAGGGAAAAGAGGAAAAATAGAAAGATTTGAAAATAAAACAGTTGAAATGCAGCCCCAAATCCTCAAAGTAAATCACTTTTACTGCAAAACCTTTTATCAGAGAATGATAGAAGGTCACTTAGAGAAACTACACGCTCTTTTCACAGCCTTGACTCACTGGACTAAATATTGTAGATAGTCCAAATAACTAATAAATGTCATTCTAACAGACTGGGATGTGATCTAAAGGGTATGATTGAGCACTCATCATGGCAGAAGTGTGTAGTTCCTCTAAGTTTGGAGACGAATCAGAGGTATCACATGATGGATTAAAAAGAGCATGAAAACTTAAGATGTTAGTCCAAAAGTACACCCATTAGAATTCAAATGAGCACCGTACGAAAATGGTTGGCCTAAATGTCCGGTGGCACCTTGACTCAAGGGTTTATTTAATTCCTTCCGTGGCTACTTGTAACTCATTTGACTCAAACTGTACCTTTTGGAAATGAACATCTTCAGTTGGGCTGATGCAAAGCCATGCAAAAGAGTAAAGATGCTCCGTTTCCAAGTGTGTTTTACCGAGCATGCTGTTGCCCTCCGACGGGGAGGTCGGCGAAGCCTGAGCCTGCTGGGGAGCCGCGTCGCCGCCGCTGGTGGCGACGTCTGTTTCCGTCTCACTGGTATCGCCGTTGAGGCTCAGATCGGGTCCGAGTACTATTCCGTGTTTCTGGAAAGAAAAAAAAAAAAAAAACAGTTGCTATCATAAGCTTCAAATCGAATTATATCACTCCAATAAAACAACAACAACATTCAGCTAAAAGCTGTTGCTTAAATGAGTACCAGTACAAAAGGAAGCACATATAGCTCCTTTTTCACCGCAAATCTTTATAAAGATCACGCAACACCACCCATCAATTTCTGATTAGCCATTTCAGCTGGTTCTTCAAGACCAACTTTGTACAGTTTTTGTGATTGCTATCAAATTTGAATCGCATATAACTCAAACGCATCACTAAACAGATGGGCGATAACACATTGAGGAAAATCGTGTTTTCTCTCTGTGGCCGGAGCAAGGTGGCAAATTTTGGCGACTTTCCGTAGAACTGTAAGAGCTCCGCAAGGTCAGGGCCTCACAGAAGGTCTTGAAACGGAGTACCTTTAGAATATCTTTCAGCTTCACAACCTCTTCTCTGAGTTCGTCTCGCTCAGTTCGGATTGCGTCCGTGTATTCTTTCTGACGCTCTAAGGCCTGATCGGATTTGCAGTGCACGGTGTAGAGGGGAGTGAGTCGAGTGGGTCGAGGGAGTCGGAAGACAAAGTAAGAAGGGTGATGTCAGTTTCACGCTGGTCAAAGTAGATGACAAGAAATGCAGAAGCGCTGGAGAACCGGGCCATACCCCAATTTTCTTATCCTTCCACTCCACCGTCTCTTGTAGATCCGATATTTCCCTAGCAAAACTCTCCTGTTTCAAACGCAACTGACGGATCTCCTACAGAGGCAAGAGAGGACATGAGAGAAAAGCAGAGGAAAAAGAAAGTGGTGACAAGCTTGATGTGGGAAAGGAAAATCCGGGTGAAATGACATCCGAGCGTGCAAGTGATGGCCATGCAAGCGTTCATTGACGCCATCAAGTAAACACTCACATTGAGCAGCTCCTCGCTTTGTTTCAGCGTCTCTTTCATTTCGTTGAACTGGAACTGAAGAACACTGTGGGCATGTTTCTCGCGTTCAAAGTCCTGTGGGGATCGGCAGTGAATGAGCACACATGCCGCAAGAAAAAAAACACACTGGTCACTGAAAATACTTTGAAAACGGACCAAAGTATCACTAAATGTAAAAATGTGATGAAAAATGAACCAATGAAAATGACACTTCATTTTTGTGGTTACCATGAATCACTTTCATTTAAACCAACTACTGAAAGCAGCCTGGACAAACATAATGCTCCGCTGAGTCGGATATTTAAAGGACTAGTGGCCAGGCTTTCTGACACTGGTCAGTACTTTTTGTTTGGGAGTGCCTTGGTTGTCTGAGATTTCATTGTCCACTGGCCTACACTGACTCCAAGACCCTGTGCCTGATATAGCAAAGCAGTGCCAGAACAGAACTGACGTGAAGCGCTCTCAAGCACCTTCTGCTTGAATCCAGAGGACTATGAAGGCATTGCGAGCTTTGATAGTCCTCTAGATTCCATTCTACCAAGCATAGATTCAAGACACCCTGTGCCGGATGTAGCAAAGCAGCCCCAGAACAAATAACTAAGCCCCTTCTGTTTGTGGAGGCCCGCTTCCTGTGAACCAATCTGACCAGTCCTCCAATAAAACTCGCCAAGAGCACTTCAAAATAGACTTGTACGTATCATGACAACACGTAAAGGGGAATACATAATTGCAAATGGCTGCGTGCCATACCTTGACCTTCTCTTCGTACTCCCGCCTCGACTCGGACAGGAGTTCTTCTAGTTCTATCAGTGAGTCTTTTAGTGTGTCCACCTGGTACATCAGGTTGTTTTTTTCATTGTCCAGCTGAGCATTGGACACCATGGCCTTGCGGTACTTCTCCTCCACTTCTGTTAACGCCTCCTAGAAAAACGTAGGCCAATTCATTGTTATCTCACTCCATCTTCCTCCATCACTATAGCTGTACAAGAAGAAAACATTGATGCGGTGAGCATACGTGCATGTGATCAGTGATACATTTAGGTCATTGTCTAAGGACTACTGAAGGGGTCATGGATTAATTAAATCATTCAATCCCCGCCGTTTTCATTGGCGCAAACCCCCTCAATCTCAGACGTTTCACTGGATTTTGACTGCTTTGCAAGGCCCACGGATTATTGTCTTCTATTGCGATATAAACATGCAGCCTGCCAAAAGAAAGATGAGACTCTCTTCTTTCAGCTGAAAAAAAAGTTTCTTTTTTCCATTGTTCAGCAATCATTTATGACTCAAGATCTGGGTCTTGGTCTTGGTCACAATCTTGGTATCAATTGCATTTGAACTTGAAGGTGTTGACACTCTACGATTTTCCGGAAATACTTTTCCATCCTTGTTACCAGTGTTCTGGTGATCGAGGATTTAGTGATAAAGTGGGTGGGACACTATGACCGTATCTAGCATCACTGAGAGATTATTCGATGTCTTTTGGCTTCTCCCGACATGTGCGCAAACCAAGAGCTACAAGCAAGCAGACAGAAAGAAGATGCCAACTGTGGAAGGAGAGGATGCCACGTCAGGAGCATATGTTACGGTGCTACAAAAACAGTCCAGGCGACTTGAGTGTTTTATTTTTTTAAGGCTTGTCAAATTGAATATATTATGGCAACGGCATACAAAAAAAATCAGTCTCAGGTTCTTATACCTTGACTTCTTTTAGGTTCTGATTGTACTTGGACTCCACATCTTGGATCTGATCCTTCAGTTCATGAATTTCCTGGTGAAAAGAGCAGCAGCAGTGAGCAAGGGAAGCGTCAAGTGTGAGCCATCCGCAGAGGCAAAGCAGGAAGGAAGGTACGGACACGTTTGCAGAGCGAATGAGGATCGTCTATTCGCGCTACCTTAATTTCTCTCGTTGCTGTTTCGGCATCGACTGTGATGGCGGTCTCTACACTTGCTCTCCGCGAGGAAGTCCCGCCGAGGGAGGCGAGAGTGGCCGCCGTTAACGCAGAAGCCGCTCGGGAACCCTGCCAAAACGTCATCGAGCCGCAGTTGAGTAATGCAAATAAAAAGGTAGAAGAACCTGCTCGGTGTTTGGCGTTCCACTTACTTTCTCGAGATAATCCCTGTCGTCGACCTGTGGAGGCAAGGAAAAAGCGATTACAGCCAAGTCAGGCTGACATGGAGGCCACCGGGCCTACAAGCATCAAGAACGACACCAGGCCCCAAATCCGGAATTCAGGTCGCTCAGCAACACGCGCACGCTCTCTTTTTTTTTTTTTTAACGACATGCATTTTGCCTCACAAAAGCTAATCCATGCGATTGGTTTCAGGCGATCTCAGTCATGGATGATCGGTATCGGGAATCGGCAGCATGAAACCCTGATCGCAACAACCCGAAGTTAAAAGTTATCTTGTGAGTTGACAGTGTATTGAAATCTGTCCATGTTTGACACACAAATCAACAACACAGACAAGGCAAACGGCATTGTTGGGTTAAGTGCATAAAAGGGAGGATGCGGGAGACTAAAAACGGCAATCTCAAAGGCCTCGGCCTCCTGGGGGCGGAAAGGAGACTCACGTCAGAAAAATCGGGAATAGTAACATCGTCCAGATCTCTGGGGAGTCCTCTGCTACTGGAAGTGCTTCTGAACAGACTGGCGACAGAGCCAGCATTGTCCTGGATGGCCCACCGCGGGGGTGCAGACAACAGATGGCCGTTCAGACCAAACGGACAAAAATCAGCCCAAACCAAACGAGCGCAGCCATCCGCCAAAACATTGAAGACTTTACAAGCGGCTGCATTTCATGACTTGCAGGCAGGCTATCTGGACGGCTCACCGCTGGGCTGGTACGGGCAGAATTGGCCCGGCTGGAAGTTCTGGAGTTGGAGCCGCGGTAGCCGCTGTACTCGAGAGGCTGTCGAGGAAGCACACGGTGATGCTTCCATCCAGCAAAGTGGAGTAACATGCGCAGGCTCCTATCGGACGCAGGCAGTTGATGCCGCCGTCCCCACGTATTTGCTGTTTTGGCGATTCACAAATTCACCGTTTTTTTTTTTGGAGTGGAGTGGAATCTATCTTCAGTTACTTGTTGAACACGGCACCTATTCATGTTTGCTAAGAAGCCACCAAGGCCATTGGTAACGGGAAAGTAGTCGCAGTTGGTGTCAAATAAGTGCAGTGATGTGATGACCGTATTACATTTTTATGGGGGGGGGGGCGCCTATGTTCTACTGCTAGAGACAAACTTTTTCTGGTGAAAGAAGAAACTGCTCTTCCTTTTGGTAGATTTGGTCCTTATGAAATATCAGTGGGTCTTAAAAGATAGGTCAAACCGCTTGAAATCGGCTGGCAACACAGTGAAGTTTGCTTTGAAAACAGGTGGCAGGAAATGAGTCGATGTAGGCTACTGTGAAAAAACATCAGTGATACGCGTCCGGAGCCCCGCACCCTACTCATTTGAACACTTCAACAATCTGCCATGCGCTGTTAGCATACAATCACACACATCGCGTCAAGACAAATGCAAAGTTGCCACACGGCAAATCAAAACAAGTCACAATTATTTCATGACTTGAAAAGGCAACCTTACACACCTAAAAAACGTCACCATGCCAAACAAACAAACAAACAAAACTTACATGGGAGCCAAAGTTGGAGCCGGAGAGTCGCCGCGACCCGGAGCAGAGACCGTCCTCGTATAAGGAGCTCTGGATTTGATGCGACATGATACAGACGACACCGGCGCTTTTTGCTCACGTTTCAGCATGTTTACATTTCGTCATTTCTATTCGGTGGAAAGAAATCTCACACACGTCTGGTTGCAAGCTACTCAGGGAAGTTAAAAAGTGGCCGGGCCGGCAGTGCTTCGTTTCGGGAGCTTAAGAATGATCCAAATGTGTGCCGCTAATGACTTGCGAGTCCATAAAAAGTCAATGAAATGATGGCAATGATATGACTGGCTGATCAAGTGTGATGTTGGCAAAAGATTCTCTTGGCAGAGGGCAGCCCTCATCGGGTCTTTTTTCATGCAGAGTTTGTTCCATACGAACCTGGTAGGAGCCAGTTGAACCCGGATTCCGGCCGGTGGGCAGACCATTGAGGCTGTACAAGTCAGACGAGGCGTACGATGCCTGAGAGGGAGCCCCCAAACCAAGAATTTGGAATGAAGACAACTTGCAATTGCAACCAGTTACAATCCCGAGTGGGTGTCAATCTTCCAGTGGCAATCCATTGCCGAGAATAGTTTAGCCAATTTCTGTCATCACCATAGACCGATGAACACAAAAGGTTGCGCCGAAACAACACCCGTGTCCTTGATGACACGTCACCTAACAGTCACAGGGCAAATCTTATCAACCCGGCCTGGACGGTGATGTGTAATCCGCAAAATAAACAACAAGCAGAAGGTCAAGGCTAGTTCATCGGTAAGGGAAACTATTCCAGCACACATATCACACTCTACTTTCACCCAAAACAATCAACTGTATGACTGTTTTTTTTAAAGACTGCAAATTGGGACATTCCGCTCAAACCACTCGGGTGTTAATAGAAGGACGAGACTGACTTGTTGACACGTTACATTGAAGCGTCATTGCAACAAGCGCCTACTAACCCGGCTGGATAGAACACTGTACTCATCATCGTGGCCGTTCCTCTACAAAGCAAGAGTGCAAAAGGCATTTGTTATTGGCTGCAAAAGGTTATTTATTTCAACCCGCAATCGTCGGCCAATGACATACGTACATCCTTCTCTTTGTGCTTATGCTTCTTTTTCTTCTTGGACTTATGCGAGAGCGACGACGAGCTCTTAAGAGTGTGACAGAAAGAACGAGATCAGCGTGAGGATACGAACAAATAGCACGCCAAGTCATTTTTCCGCAACCACATAACTGCACATCGGAATGAACCATGATTACATGCAATGTGGATTTGTTATCACTCCGAGTATGCCGTGGATCAAATTGCCCTTGATTATTATTATTTCAGTATGAATACTTCATGTCATTTATTTGGTAGTGTGCCTTGGCTCGGTAAGCGTTGGCAAAAACTGGGTTATACTTTCAAGGCTATGTGATAAAAAGCACATAGAACAACAGCACAAGGCTACCAAAGGAGAGATATCCACAATCAGGAAAAAAAAAAAAAAACAGATTCCGAATATTGTGCAAAAGAGCAACAGGACACTCAATACTGAGTGGAGGCCAGCAAATGTCAATATGAACTGGTGTAGGTCTTACAAAGGGTGTCGACAAAGTCTGTCGACAGAGCAGATTCTTTTTCTGGGTTGTACCAAAGGACAAAGCGGACTCGATGACGATCACAGTTTTTAACCACACGTGAGAACGCATCACCGGTCGATGTGCCGAAATCGACGGCAACGCAGACCTTCAAGTCCAGCCAGTTCACCTGAATTTGGCAAAGCGCAGCAAATTCTAGAAATCATGTTGGAAATATTATTGATCAACATTACGATTCAATAAAATTGTTTTGTTGTGTTTTTGTTTAACCAGAAGGTGCCCAGACTTTATGGACACCCGCAAAGCTCAAAATCAATTACGCAAGATCATGCACAGGCAGTTAAAAAAAAAAAGGGGGGGGGCACACAGTATTACACACACACTGGGAGAAATATTGTGTTTTTCAAACGATTCCATTCCAGAGCACCAGCCTTACCCCGGCACCGTAAACCACATCAAGATCCGACTGTGCAAGAGACACGAAAACATCAACTAGGATGCTGGACTCTCTTTGAAAGGGAAACACTTTTTTCCCCCCCAACAATTTAAAACGATTCCCACGTGTCCTTCAACACGTCTGCAACATCCTTTCATCAAACTACTCCCGTCTTGGGGAAAAAAAAAGTGCACCAATGTGTCCCCCCCCCCCCATCAAGACAATAAAAACATTGCATTTTCACGTTGGCACGTCATAATGCGGAGACATGAACGTTTTGTGCAGCGGTTCATGAGAAAGCGTTTTCAGATTGATTTTGGCATCGAAAATCTCCACCATACACGCGGAAACATGAATATACGACGACGGGGACGTCGGATACTGACCCTGGCGCTGCCTCGGCTTCCCACAGACATGCGTTCGTCGTCGTCTGAAAGCTGTGTGAGACATAAGACAGATGGCAAAGGACAATCAGGGTTGAGAACTTTTTGTCCAGGAAAATTCATGATGCCCGATGCAGAGCACCAATGGGAGTCGGGCGCGTTCATATTCTTGCTCGTTTATGGACGAGATGTGAACACGACGCTAAGTAAACCGATACACGCAAGAGGTACTAATTGTATCGTGTCCAGGTGCATGGCAACGTTGAATATTCTGGAATTTGCAAGTCATTTCAGTGGCTCCATAAAAAAATTGGAAATCATGATATAGATACACTACACACACATACACACACACACACACACACACACACACGGAATTTGGTACTTCATTTTATTCATTGTTTAAATCATTTTGATTATTGATGAATGAATGCCCCAAATTCCCAATTCCAAGAAATTAGACAATTCCATGAAAAACAGCCAAAATGATATGAATTTTGGATACCGGCCTGTTTGATGAATCGAAATAACTACCGAAACATTTCCATGATATCCTGCTTTTTATTCAGATGCACCTGTTACATAATTCAGATGATAAAAAACAAAAAAAAACAAAAAACCCTGTTTGATTTAAATTTTAAAAAGACATTTGAATTAAATGTAGCTAATACTGTGAGCATTTTGCTCATACCAAGGCATTATGGAGCTTTAGCTCAGATTTGTACGGGACAGCGAAGAACTGAACACCTCTTTGATGGAAGAGAAGAAACAGGAGGGAGGGCTACAAACCGTGTGCGGCTGTGAGGGGCGTGAGTATCGCTCACTGTCCTCCTGCATGGTGGGAAGAAGGCAAAAGGTGATGAAGGGAAAAAGGGGGGATGACGCGTGGGGGGACGAGGCCGCACAAACAAGACGGCGGTAGATTTGAAAGAGTTCACATTAAAGCACTCCATGATGCTGGACGCTCTCTTTGTGACAAGATGTCAAATGCATATGATCAGTCGGTACGTGCTTCAGATATCAGCTCTCGTTGCTTTAGCAGCAGCTCAACCCAAACATGATGTGTTTTTTTTTTCCCATGAATTTTTTGTGGTCCAATTTCAACCACGTCATTACGTCACAAATTGAAGACCTCCGTAAAGTGAATCGGAAGACAATTGCTGAAAATGTGCAGACTGAACTATGTCGCAGTGAATTGCGGAGATTCAGCATCAAGTTGCTTTTCACCGTTTCAGTTTTCCTGATTTTTGGGCCATAGCTCAAATGTAGCTAAAATGTGGCAGGGTTGTTAGACTTCAAGCACTGCATGTTGCTGATCCAATTCCAAAAAGTGACATCTCTTTGGTCATGGTTAGTATTTGTTCACGTCAAACAGTCAACATTCTGTCAGTAAACTTTCCTGGTGAAATTTGAACTCAGTCGTGGCACGAGAAATCCGACACAGCAAATGTCATGCAGTCCACACCGAGAGGGCAGATGGTCAAGCTGACTGCGGGCCAAAGAGTCAACCCTACTCCCCTATGACCATTTTTTTTAAAACAGGGGATCAAGCTTGGATTCATTACAATGAGTTCTCTCTTTATAAAGGGAAACACAAACAACAACAAATCCAGACGGGAAATGGCTCACGCCCAAATTACAACTCAAAGCAATTACGGATGTAAACGTGCATTCGAGTTAGTAACAAGGCGGTGTCATCGCAGGACAAAAGCGGTACCATCCATTGCTCAATATCTCCCCATTTGCTGTCTGATCTGTCATCTGATTTGGGATTCAAGCCATAATACTTCTAAAGGGGAAAAAAAAAAAGCAAGTTATGAAACAAATAAACCATCGCCAATATTGCTTGGAGCACACGCTTTGAGCAAGACGCATACCTTCTGCACCTGAAAGATCTGGACACCACCAGCAATCGGGGGGGGAGAGAGAGAGAGAGAGAGAGAGAGAGAGAGAAAGAGAGAGAGAGATTGAAAGATGTCAAAATGTATGGAAACAGAAACCCGCCAGGCAGAAAGTGCAAAAATGGCGCCTCAATCAGGAGAAGCCAACAACAGACGAAGGCTGATGGGTCAGATTCAGTTCAGAGGCAGTTGGGAAGATGAAACAACGCATACTGTCGCGGGGGGGGAAGAATCTTGAATCACCGCCTTAGCATGCGACAGTGATAACACTACATTCTGACTTGCAGATAAAATTCAGGTTACGTCGCCACTGGAAGAAGGCAACCCCGTCACAATCGAGGTCCTGCTGCTCACACTTTGTGCCAGAAGCTGGATCACTGCCGAACAATGGCCGCCCTCAAGGGGCTCGAGTCATTCTCTAGTACGTCTATTGGCCGGCACTTTTGTGACGACCTGAACGATGCCCTGATCTCGGTCTGGTCCCCAGAGACGCCACTCAGGCTCGCTGGCTGTCACAATTTATACTTTGAATCCAGGCAGCCGCAATATTCGGCTATCGCTAGGTTCTGTGCTATGCCTCCAATTTGTTGACCGTTGCCGATGGCTTGTCGCCAGGACCCCTGAAGCGAGAGGAAGCTTACTGAGGCAGAGCCAAAGTTGATCGCCTGTGCTAAAGCTAAGCTAAGCTAAGCCACTTTTTCCACTCCGAGCCGCAGATGGTGAATTGAAATCGAGTCGCGACGATCCGCTTGATCACTTCTAAAATGAATATGGGGAACGCTTTTCCCTCGATTCGATCGCGGTCTCACTCGGAGCTCTCCGATTCCGCCGCTGAGCTCGTCGCTACGCTTTCCATCCCAGCACCTCCGCACATCAATCAGATTTACCGGCGCCGTCGCTGTTGTACTGTATGCTTGCCCAATACGTGGATTGACCGCCTTGTAATTCTGGCTTTCGGGAGCAGATTTGCTGCTTAGCCCCTTCACGACCTCATTAACACTCTCCTCGATAGCAGTAATGCCCTCGCGTATCCAATGTTCTGGCTCGGGTTCCGTTAGGTCAAGTCTGTTCCGATGAGCTACTGTGGCAGACTTGCTAGCTCAAGAGTTTGTTTGCCCTGGATCAGCCATTTTGCTGGTGAAGGTCAACGTCTCTTGATTTTGACGCTGTCGCACCACTGGGGGACACAACGGGCTGCAAATAGGCAGTGCTGCTTCAATTTTGTCATTTATTAGCTCTTCACCCAACCTAGAAGTTTCTCAAATTTGAGGACTGGCGGGGAGGGGGGTGGGTGGCTCGCCAAGCCCAACAGAAACCGAGACAAAACTATTGCTTATCTGCGTCCGGACACTCATTAGTGCCCACTTCAGCTCATTCACGGAATGAGTTGCAAAATCTGCTTATCACGCTTGCACGTCTGCTATTTAACTCACCGTGCCGCTCTTTTTGACAGGGGGGCTCCGAGGGCGCCTGGTGAAGGCCGCCCGCAGTCTCCTCCCTGCGAGGAGACGCCCGGCCGTTTTTGTCGACATCAGGGTACCGGGACGGACGGCATTCTTCAGCGTCCAGTAGGTAAGAACCAATAGGATAGATCGCAGCGGTACGGGAATGTAGCAATTTCAATCCAAAAGGCATACAGGGAGCCAATCTCAATCCAATTGAAAATCAATCAATCATCCATCTGCCATTTTGCCCATGTCTTCAATTTTCGACAACGCAACCGTTACCAAACACCCGCCGGTGGCTGGCGTGCGGGAGCCCCATTGCTGGAGTCAACAACGTGAACCGAGTGCAGCATTGCGGCTTGGGCCGAGGAGCGCAACCTGCTAAGCTACTTTACAACTGAGTTAAAGGATTTAACACACACACACACACACACACACACACACACACACACACACACACACACACACACACACAAAACAATGATCAGTAATCCCGTACATATGACTTCAGCGACTGGGTTTCGACTGAATACAAGAATAACGTAGTGCTCGGGAACAGATGACATGATGAACTTGCACGTTATTGGCTATTTAAAAAAAAAAATGTGGTCAAATAGCCGACATGGTAACGCATACTTTTGTGTAGGGGTTGTGGGGGCGGGGGGGGGCAGAGGTCTGACTGCATATGAGATTACGTGACGCTAATAATAGGGAGCTATAAAAAGTCCCCCTTGCTACGCAGCCGACGTGCTAAACCGGAGAAGAAACTCCACAAAAAAAAAAAGCTAAGAACACAAACACTATTGGAAGCGGCACGTTCTAATTTCTACAAGGCTTCCTTCCGTTTGGCTCGCTTCAAACTGGATGAAGTCCAATGATGCGCCGACTGCATTTTCATTTTGTTCACCTCTTTTTGTTGCCTCTCAAGTTCCCGCATGCGGATCTCTCTGGCTTCTGCCCTCGCTGCCCTCTTGGCTGCCAGTCGGGCCTCAGCCTGGAAGAGGAACAGGGAGGAAAAAAAAAAACATAGAAAAGGAAATCGTTATACAGCAATGGGAGCATTTGTTTTATACATTTGCCAAACACAAGCGAGTAACCAATGATCATCGTTATACAGCAATGGGAGCATTTGTTTTATACATCTGTCGGCATGAAATGTTACACAGCAGAAGCTCGCGACAATTTTACGTATATCTTGTGTACAAACACTAAACATGAGAGAAGCACCGGATGTATTTTTAGAAGTGTTTAGCGAACTTTGCCATCGCTCCACTGGGCAATGAATCGAACGAAGGGCCTTCTCCTTAAAAGGACCTCTCAAAGCGCAACTTGTGCGTGCGCGCGCGGCTCAAAGTATGTGTAAGCGTTTCCTTCCTCTAACATTGTGGTCGCCGTGTGGCGCTCCGTCTTGTTTGCCTGCGGGCAGGGGCTGCAGAAACGCCTCTTATTCTTGCGCTAAATGCATTTCCTTCACATCGGTCAGCATGAGCAAGCAACGGGAACACAGCGCAGGGCTTCCTCTGACGGGTTTTGGTCCTTCTGCTCGAAAGAGGGCGGGCGGTCTGAGGGAACAGCGGCCTTTTAACTGCTGCGACCACGACTGTGTCAAAGTTAAGCAGAGCTGCGCTAGTGTCAGATGCAGAAATGAGCGTTAGCGGCTGATAGGGAGGTGACGGGTATATTGTCATATTCCGTGGGAGCAATTACAAAGCAGTGTTGCTCGTGTAAGTGACGAAGGAAAACGGTCGAGAGCGCGGCGCCGCATGTGTCACGATGCAATCGGTTGGTTGAATGGGACTGAAAGTGACCTTCTTTTGAATGTCAACTCACTTTGTAAGCAGACTATGCCCGGATGTGGCCAGCCCATTTTGTGCTTCCTGACTTGCTTTTCTTTTCTAATTACATAAAATGCCAAATGTGTTTGCGACTCGTTCGAGATCAACAACCAACTCCGACAACTTGGATGAGTTACTTCTAATAAGACATTTGTCGCATGACGTTTTGTGCTTCCTGACTTGCTTTTCTTTTCTAATTACCAGTACATAAAATTCCAAATGTGTGTGCGACTCGTTCGAGATCAACAACCAAGTCCAACAACTTGGATGACTACTTCTAATAAGACATTTGTTGCATGGCGCGAGCTAGCTTTTTAGCACAACACGAATACATTCGAGTCTATATAAACACAGACACACACTTTAAATTTATCAATAGTACCTATAAATGAGTGACTCGTCTGTGTAGCCACCGTGAGAGGGCTTAACCTAACTAGACCGAAAGATGTGGAACTCTCTTTTTTTTCTCCACAGCTATTTATATTGCCCTAAATGGACTAAAAGGGGATGTAATTCAGCACGTTTTCAATCGGGTGACTCCTCCAGGGGGAAAATGAAGAGCAAGGTACCATATTTGGAACATGTTGAAATCTCCAGCGCGGTTACAAACGCACCAAATAAAACCGCCATCTCGACGGAAAAAAAAGACGGACTCCACAGGATTCCCGGAGCCGTTCCGACTTGATTTCAGACAATAAATCCGATGCTGGCGCAGTCGTTTCATGTCTGAGAGTTCTGTTTTCTGTCAGTCAAGTTGAATCTCGGAAACGGAGGTGGAGGCTCGCTCAACAAGACCTCATGGCAAACATGGCAACAGCTGTGGGACTTTTGCCCCCCGCAATCAGCAAAATGCGAAGGCTACGTCAGGTCCGGAGCACTCCAACAACGTGAACGCAGCTGCCTCGTCACAAACCGAGAAACGCAACGCAAACAGCACAACAACACACAAATTCCTCGCATGACTTTACGTGCCACTTTGGGAGAGGACAGGACGACGACGAGCAACTTGCGGTCCAAGCACAGGTCGCTTCAGCAAAGAAATACGGTGCGGCTCAGCCTGAGGCTCACAGAGGTTTTCCTACAACACTTTCCTAAAAAGAAGACAAGCTATTGAAGTTGCACTTTCCTAAAAAGAAGAACCTACCACTGTTTCGTTGTCCTAAAAAGGCGGACTAAACACGATGCAGTTTCCAAACGGACAGACAATTGATGTGGCACTTTCCCCAAAAGACAAACAAACGACTTGTGTTGCACTTTCCATCAAGACAAGACAAATGATGTTGCGCTTTCCCGAACTGAAAATATTTCAGCTGTGAGATGAGATTAAATATTGATTTTGATTTCACCGTAGACTTTTGTTTTTGTTGTTCATCTGATTAGCTTTCATTGAATCAGAAATCATCCTTTTTGGCGACCTTTTACGCCTGCGGCGTACCGAGGATAGAGTATGACTGGACGAGTCGGCCCGAACACCTGAACGCCACTGGCGACCACGCACTTCCTCTCAGCGATGGCGGGACAAATAAACAGGAAGCACTTTGTGATAACAATCTGCCGAGATGATGTCACAAGGAGGAAGTGAACCCAAAATGCACGGCATCCTTTTAAGGCAAAACGGTTCTAGCCAACTTCAGAGGGCGCAAGGCAGGAAATAGAGCAAGAGGAACCGCGTTGGCCTGTAGTAGCGCATCGGCGGCGTGTCCCGCCCGAGCAAATCTTTCTCTTTCCGTGTGTCTTGACTCATGTGCACATGAACTTTGCTTGTGCCCTCCCCGCAATGATTAACAAGCTGTGTTTGCATGCAGGACAGATGTTCGGAGGCTTGTTCTCTATACATGGCTGCTCCCCGGGCCCCCATCTTCACCACCAACCCCCCACCCCAAACTAATCCACTCCTCACGCTCTCAGAACGCCCCGCTGAGCTTCACCGAGATGGCGCGTACAACCTGGCATTTAATTAGTTTTTTTTCAAACTGAAGCAGCGTAGAAAATGTGGCACTGTGTTATTTCCCCCCCTTATACACAAACAAACACACACGTCACATTTAATTTTTACCTTAAATATGACTTGATATTAATTGTAAGACATTTTTCAGCCACAGCATCCAGCCCCACTCAGCACATTATGTTTCAGAAGAAGGCATTTATTTTATCTTTATATTGATCAGTTTATCGGACATTTTATCAGACAAGTTAACAATATTCAGCCTTTTTTCTCTGGGTCCTCACTTTGAAGAGACTTAAAAAACAATCGACGACGACAACAAAAACCCTAAAGAAATAATTAGCGATATGGATTAATATGAAATATTTCTGTCGAGATGAACTTTTCAGCCCGGCCCTACTTGACTGTTTAATTGAAGGAACCCAACAGCAAATCAAAAGTCCATTTTTCATGTTATGTCCACTTTGAACGACAACAGCGTGGACGCAAGGGTTAAGGTCAACGATCGTCCAGTACAACAAACATTTACAAGCAAGCGGCATCGCTTCCACCCCCCCAGCGTCGTCCATACGGGCCTCCTCTAAAACCAGGGCGTTGCGACAGCTGATCTTTTCGGCATGCTATTTTTAAACTCTTTAGCAGCGCAGGCCGACTCATCGGTGTGGTTGGACCACCACCCAGTTCGTCACATACGAGGGATTTGACTTTGCTGCCACTTTAAAAGGCGCACAAGCATTTCCGCTGCTCTCAGGATAGAAAACCTGAGAAAGAATGATTTGTAGTTGTTCGGCGGGTTTGCATTCTGCATTCGGTGACTAACGGGCTAAGGAAGCAAGGACAATTAGAGCAATTTTTGACACCACCCCGCTCCATTTATTTCGCTCGTGTACAGCGGTGAGAGGAGCGGTCGCTTGAGCAACGGTGCTGGGCGACGGCTCACTTCTTCCAAGTGTGCCAGAGGGGGAGTATGAAGTTAGTGATGTCATCCACATCGTGGAGACATCCACTTGGACTGGATTACGTCGAGCCGTTGCGGTCATTTCTAGTGTGTTCAGTGGCGGTTATCACAAGTAACCGATGATTACCGAATTTGGGACCGGCGTAAATCGTCCCCTGAGCAGGCGAGCAAATGACATCACTCATCACATTAAAGGGTTGGAGGGGGGGGTGAGCCTGCCCCAACCTGAGTTCAGCACGTTTAGTAAGAGCAGCTCAGGTGCAGTCTTGCGTCACTGTGATCATAATCCAGCCGGTTGGTGTGCAAGTTGGTACATGTGTGTTTGCCGATTAACAGCAAAACCATTTTCATCGCTGGTGGCTTATGTTTACATGAACTGCACACACATCAACCCCTCCTGTTACTTTGCGGGTCAAACTGACCCATTCCATATTTGCAAATTATTTAACTGTATACTACAGCTAGACTGTGAAGCTTGCGGAAGTAGGAAGGCACCAAGTGGGTTTTCAAAATGACAAAATGATGATGATGATGATGATACATTGGCTTTTCGGGTGAACATTTTTCATTTTGCGCCAACCCAAGTTGAAGAATAACCACTGTCTACCAGGAAGTCCTAATTCTAAATAGTCAGAGTATTATTACCACAAATTGGAACAATTGGTTGTTTTTACTTAACACAGGGGTCAACATAAGATTACTTTTGTCACTTCTTTTATGCTTGAAACTCACTGGTGGCTTTTGGGACAATCAAAACAATTAGCTGTTGTTAATCTCAAATGAGAAAACACCGGCACACAATGGCGTCAATCTTTACACATTATTCGACCTCACTTTGTAGAAAACATTTGGTTGTTTTTCCTTCTTAAAAATTAGGAAATACCAATATGTCTCTTTTCAAATACCAGATGACATCTGTCACTCGTGTCAAGTTTAAATGACATGACAACAAGGGCTTTGGGACAAGTAAAACTATTGGGTTTTTTTTTCCTGAGTGTGTTCTGGGCCAATCCCATGACTTTGGTCACTCATCTCAAACTTAGCTCAGATGATAGCTAACTTTTGGGATGATTTCCAATTGGCCGTTTTTCCAATGAATATGAGAAGACCAGCATGTATGTTCGGAGTCAATACAAGATGACTCAAAACAATTTGTTGTTTCTCACTTAACTTGTGTGGCTCACATGGGTGGTCTTTGATGAGTACAATGCAAAGAGAATGCGGTCACTTGAAAGAAAAGTAGCGTTAATCGCAACAAAAGCTGTTGGTTGTCTTTCACCTTATATGAGAAATATATTTTTGATGTCCGGCTGACTTAAGTCCACACGATGACTGTCAACTTGAAAACGTGCTCTGAGTCATCCCGAGATGACTTTGGTGAATCGGTTTGAGCTTGAATCAAAACGATTCGTTGACTTTTGTCACTCTGTCCAAGCCTAAAAAACACACAGTGGCGTTTTGCGGAGAGTTGGAACTAACTCACCTCTCTGGCGATGAGATTTAAGGCATCGTCCTCTGCCGTGGATCTCTCCTTGTTGCTGTTTCTTTTCCGTCCTGCGCCCTGGGTGCCCATGTTGGAACCCACGAGAGCACGTATGCGAGCACACGCGAAGGCAGTTCTGGGGGCTCGCGTTCGGTACACCCCACAGCAAGAAGAAGCCTCGGTGAGGCTGAAGCTGAACTAGTCGTCGCCCAGCACGTCAACTTCAGACGAGGACATGAAACAAAACGCGTCCGCCGTCGTCACGGTCACACATCCGTAGTTCACGCGTCTTCCTGTGTTTCGGGAGCTTCTCACGCGCGGGTCGCCACCATATCGATTTCAAATGTCTGCATCTTCCCCGCGTGGGAAGGCAACTTACTTTCCCAGTTGTTTACTTCCCGGCCAGATAATTCGCTCAAATTAAAACATTAAAATTATTCAAGCGTTGTAGAGTTGAAAGTTGAACACCTCGGTAGCGGGGACGAACTTCACTTGCAATCGTCACTCAGTGACGCTGCCTTTATGGACGTGGGAATATGTCGACGCTCGGTAGCGGGGACGAACTTCACTTGCAATCGTCAACTCAGTGACGCTGCCTTCACCGGACGTGGGAATATGTCGACTGTGTCGATGGTTTGACGGAACTAACGACACGCGACGCACTTGCTCAACACGCGGCGACGTTCAAGAGAACGTTGATCAATGAGCACGTCACAATTTCACTTTTGACACTCTTGTGTAGTGCAGTTTAAACATTTCAGTCCGTTCATTTGCAGTATTGAATTTCATGAGACAACACGTGTGTATTGATTGGCGTCACAATTAGTACACGAATGTACGCGAAGGTGATTCGTGAAGCCCAGTGATATTTCGCACGGCATTTGAACGCAACGCCCCCTTCTATTTTTAAAACCAATTGCCACCAACTTCTAAAATAAGACGTACTCTTTATTTAAAGATACAGTGATCCAAAACTGCAACAATTGATACCTATCTGCCAGTATCATTTAATTGTGGCCATTATTACCTAAAAAGAGACCTAATCATTTTATCTGACGTGAATTATTTGAAGTGCATTTTGTATTGGAGCAAGTCCGTGTAATATGAAGGCAATGGCGCCCTCAAGTGTCCATTTTGTGCAATTACACTTCTTGCTTGATTCAGGCAATTTTGTGCAATTGGGCTGCTTGATTCTGGCAAAATACACGCCGTACATGTGCAGCTCGAAAGGAGGAACATTACGCAGACTGAGCAATGTGGCATGTTTACGTGCATGTGTGATTATTTTAATGATGAATTGAGGCAGTGTTTGTGTTGAATGTGCTCCAATCGTCTAAAAAGATATCAACATAAACACACTCTACATTCCTTAGTGAAGATGATGTTTCCAGGAGAGTAAAGGTCATTTATGTTGAGCAGATGAAAAATAAAAGCAAACATGCACACGAGCGGTGGAAAAACTGTACTAGTGCACTGGTGGATTTCACATGATTGAACTCTAAAAACTTGGATGACAACCTTGTTCTGACCATACAAATGCCGGAATAAAGAGATGATGCCATGTCGCGAGAACAATGGACAAGACTTTTAGTGGTGCATCTATTGACGTGTAGTCAAAAGCAACGTGTGGTACCGGCACCGGCACCTCTTCCAGTACGTTCCTTCTCTCCACTCTCCTCTCTGTGTTTAGATAAGAGTAGCAGTTCACTGGAGAAGACGAGCACACGGGGACTTGTAAACCTCACTGAGGTCATGGGAAGCAGCGTCCTGCAGCTGCCAAGGAATACTTGGGATTTACTCCACCCCCGCCTTTAAATGCACGCACAATGGACATGCAGTAGCAGTAATACAGAGAAGTAGTTAGTAGGAGGTCATAAAGGCGGGGTAGAAGTCGAAGTACAACTACGAGTCGCAGCAATAATAGTCAGAGTAGCCTTTGGAATTAGTTGGGTTAGCCGTACTAGAGAGTATGAGCAGTAGTATTAATAGTTTTATGAAATTGTAGTAGGAGGAGGAGCAGGTAGGTATTAGAAGTACAGTCGGACCTCGTTTCAACGTGCCCCGTTTCCGTTTTCACCGCTATCACGTTCACCTTTCAAAGTCCCGATTTCACGACATTCATTTTCCATTTGCCGATTTTGCCGACAACGCCTTCATAACGTAAACTTCATTATAGCGAGCAGATTTTTCTCAGAAAACAGTGAAAAGGCCTTCGTGGCGATGAACCGTGGGAAGCGAACCGCCGCCGCGACAACACAGCAAAACCAGAACGCGGGCCGATAATCATGGAAGAAGCTCTTTATTAGGTCACATCTGTCGCAAATAGATTGAAGAGAAAATGATTTGATGATCATTCTATCAAGACCAAAAAGACAAGGAATGTTAAAACCTAAAATGACTCCAAATCAGTGACTTTAAAAATGGCATACATTGATGTTAAAGTGCATATAGAGTATAGGAACTCCCAAAATAAAGAGGAATGTCAGTACAATGCATTCTATATTGGTTAAAAGTTAGAAGCAAATATATTTTTTTCCATTCTTATCATTTTTGAGGCGTTAACATACTGCAATGTATCAAATATGTTGTCCACAGAGGGGCCAACCGAAATGTAAAAATGTTTCAGGATCAAACTCGGGTCACATTAATCCCTGAACATTTTTTGGTGTAAAGATGTACGTGAGAAACAACCAAAACAGGACAAGTCATTGTCCGATTGATTGTCTTTGCATGAAAATCTCACATCAGACTTCGTCTTCTCCTTGTGAGTCCTGTTTCACGAACGTTTCCTGCAGGACAGAAAGGGAAAAAAAAAGAGACAAACAACAATGACAAGATAAACAATCTCAAGCAGGGAATGTGGAGCGGCAGCATCTATGAGGCAGTTGCTTCTCCAGTAGATGGAAGCAAACAATAGCAAACGTTTGGGGAGTTACTGGGAGAAAAAAAGATAGCGTTGTAAAGCCAGCCACATAAGGAACGTCAGTGAAAGAAGTCTGCTTGACAAACGTTGCTCCGGTCTGAAAGACGACAATGATGAATGTTGTTTATTGTCAACCGGGGCCCATAAAGGGCCTTTTGGTTTTGCACTATAATTTGCTATTGTGTACAAGTACAGACCAATCATTACTCTCGGACCAAACAGTTGGTGCCGCAATCTTGTCTCTTTCGAATGCCACCGAAATTCCAAGTCATTACCTTTCGTCTTTGTTCCACCGGCATGCCGCCGGAGTTGAGAGCGGCAATCCGATTCTCAATGTACGACACCTTAGAAGAGAAAGAAAGATTGGAAATGCCGTGCTTGGAGGTGGGAAAAGACAGCGCGAGGTCAACGTTTTCCTCACCTGAGTCTGGGCGTTCTGCACGTCGGCGGCGGCTTGGGCGATCTTGTCCTCCAGCTCAAAGAGTAAAGCCGTCGAACCTTGGAAGCTTGATTTTGAGCCTTCCCCTTGCCATTTATCCTGCAGGCTTTCGATTGAACGGTCTTTCTGAAGAAACCAAAGACAGACAAATACAACTAGAGGATAAATCCATATATTGCTGGACACGTTAATTGCGGTAAACATCAAAGTTTTTTTTCCCCTGCGTTCAAAATTGTGGAGCGACGGCCTCCAGCTAATTTTGCGACCCTCCCCCTGAGCCAGATCGACTGATATCGCTCAACACGGCGTAAAGCTCCAGTTGTGCTGATTGAGGGATTCATGTCCCTCTGCGGTAGCTTTGTATTTTAATTGCAGTTGCGGCGTTCCGCCACTACGGAGGCGCCATAGCAACACAGGAAAGACCTGAAGCAACGGCTCACTTCCTCCTTCGCCGAGCTCCGGTACGCCTCCGTTTCCGCACTCCCGATGCACGATCAATATGGGAATGATAACGTCATGTCAATAAATGTTATAATATCAACATCTTTTTTTTTTTTTCACCTTGCAGAACTTCTGAGTTCACTTTATGAATCCTTACCCAAGAGTTTGTGGGCTCTGAGAAGAGGCCTTTATAATGCAAGTTTGAAGAAGACATGCATGTCATGGCGCATGGTCAGGATGGTAGCACCTCGTTCTCAATTCGAGCCAGAAAAAAAAACCCAAAAACTGACATGTGAAACAGTTTGGACGATTTGGTTTAGTGCGCCTCGCTTTTGCGTTCGGCCCTGCCTGACACGTTTGCCTGTAGTGGAACATTCATCCCGGGAGGTCTGGAAGAAGCCTGTTCCACAACCAATTAGAGCTCCGAACGGTAGTGGGAACAATCTAGCGGTGAGGCAGTAGCAAAGTTTAACCCTTATGTTGTCATGTCGTGTAAAATGAAAAGAAAGCGCCTCTCGTTGGGGAAGTGTCAAGTAGCATCGCCATAAAGCTGTCATAGCACCAACTGCTGTCCTGGCTTTCATTAGTGTTCTGTTCGAAGGATTGATGTTTCCCTCCTTTCATGACACGCTGCACTTATCCTAATGTACAGAGTGAAATGTATACCATAAGTTGATCGATGACTCCTGTCCAAAATGGAAGGCTACTGGGGCGCCCCCCCATTTTACTAGCAAGAAAAAAAAAAATGTAAAACAGCGCGCAAAGTCATGCCAGACCACCCAATCGAATCTGGGTGGTTGAAGCCTCTTCTGCCACTTCTTTTCCTACTCGTGTGAGATGATTCGAATCCGTGGCTGTGGATGGCAAGCATTCAACAGTCCAGCGCTGCACTGATGACCACATCTTATATAGTCACGCTATACTTGACCGATGACATTACCAGTGATGATGCGTTGGACTGACCCGAACCCTGACCCTCCCAGGGAGTACACCTTCTTAGGTCACAATAAATCGGATCACAATAAAAGAGCATAAGGAAAACTTTCCATACGCTCGGTTTGAAAGAATGCCTAAAAATGTCAGAGGCATTCCTGAAAATAAAAGGGAAAAAAAAAAAACTAATGTCAGCCTCAAATTCTGGCTTTTGCTTATCCGAGCAGCGTTGATGCGAATCAAGCAGGAGTTGGCGCTGTCATTCATCAGGCACGCGCTGTAGGAGTAGCGATCGTCGTTAGCCAAAATCCTAACGGCTATCAACAACCTCATTCGTCAGTTTTAATGTGTTCTTGTGTTGTGTTGTATTTCTGTTCATTGACGTGCTCATTGATTGCTTATTCATGACTCCCTGAGGAGCGTTTATTTGTATTGCATTAGAAAGCAGAAGGAAACGAAAGACACATTTAAGTGGAGTGCATACAAACGTCCGGCTGTTCCTGTGTTTAATCCTGGGGAAGATTGTGGGATCCACTCAGAGATAAATCGAACATCATCTTTCTGCAGATTTCAACGAAAGCCTCTTGAAAACATTGCTAAAATGCGGGTGTTTCTAAAGATCACTACTTCAGAGTGAAATACTGATGGGAGACAGGACCCCCTGATTCAAGATGGCCCGCCAAGAGAGCCTTTTTGGAGGGGTAAGACTGGCATACGCTTTCCCTACTCAACTTTTTGGAATCGAGCTTTGGTCCACACGCACCCTACCTTCTGAGAGTTGCTTCTTCCGGGAGTGGATCTGCGAGGTACTCTGGTCAACATTTTGTCTGCCTCCCGACTTGTCATCGACGCTGCCGCGGAGATCTCTTGAGAGGAGAGCGACCGGTTGGACTCCGCCTCGTCGGAACTCAGGCTGTGGTCGCTTATGTCGCCTGCCATTGCAATCAGCTTTCGTCTCAGTTGATGCTCCTCCACGTCCACGTCTTCCCACCCGCAGAGAGGAGAGGTGCTCTCTCGGCCACCAGGAGTCTCCATGTCCTGCAGGAACAAGCGTCAGATGCCTTTCGGGTGGGTAGCCACGGCATACGTATCAAGAGGATGGTTGTTTTTGAGAGAACCGCGACATCCTATTTACCTGGGAGGAGGTCAGAGTGATCTGCAGGCGGCTTAAAAGGTTCTCGATGGCTGACATTCGTCGGTTCAGGTCAGTGATCTGTGAGACAAGATGATGAAGGACCAACATAAATAGTGGCCGCACGGTGCAAAGTATTTGCCCGGGCTTTTTTCCGAGTGCTCCGACGTCCACATTCTCAAATTGTACAGGTTCAATATTGTTCTATTGTTACTCTGAGCTTATCTTCCCATGGCTTGAATTCAGAGAGGTCGTTTGAGTACAAACATAAACTGCAGCCATTGGGAGCCATCGGAACCATCTCTGACGATTGACATCTGCTCTGCTATCGGTTTGTGTTCCCTTTGTGCCGCGAGGCTCGCTGTGAGACGAATTGACCATGACACAAGACATGCATTGCAGAAAGAAGGCCTGGCTGCGCTAACGTGAGGCCCTTTTCTCGGAAAACGGGGGTTTTCCTCTTACATCCCCGTAAAAAGTTTTTCGAATTGAAGACTTTACAATTTCCATCTGTGTGAATCTAAGTGTGAATGGGACTCAAAATTCTCCTTGAGGTGCGATGCGAGTGTGGACGACCAAGGCTCCAGTTGAACTCTGCTCAGGACACGCGGGATAGATAACAGATGGAAGGATCGTGAAGGACAATTGACCTGTGGCGGCTGGTTGGGGTAGTTGAGGCTCTCCTGGGACACATCGTCACGGGGTCCCAAATGAGCACGGTAGACCGGAAAGGCCCGTCTCAGATCATCGTCCTCCTCTGAGTCATCATCATCATCATCATCATCATCAGGGCCCAGGAAGTAGCTGCTGCCTCCCCCCCGGGGTCCCCCGGCACTCCCGCTGCCACAAGAAGAGTAGCTGAGCCCGGACATGCAGCAAGACTGAACCGTTCGGTTGTCTGAGTACACAAGGTCATCTATGCAAAAAAAAAACAAACAAACAAAAAATCATGGCCTTATGTAGAAATCCAAATCATAACCAAAGATGTTTTCATCCCACAATTTTCTCTGATTCTTTACTGTACCTTGTTGTGGAGTCAAGCTAGGAACAGACCCAACATCCGGAACTTTGCGTTGGTCTTTCAAGAATTGTTGGAAAACAGAAGCCATGTCGGACTCCCTTCTGCCCAGATTCATCAACATGATTTCATCAGGCGCCGGAATCTATAAGAAGTCGTCACTGAGAGATGAAATTCTTGAATTTCATTTTTCAACTTGCGTGGCAACTACACGTAAAACAAGTAAAAGTCTAAAGGGAACGTCTGTAATTGAACTGAAGGGCAGCCATTTTGTTTTGAAGCCATTTTGGAAGAAAGTTTGGTTGCACGGCGCATACCTGGTGAGAGTATCGTCTCGATTCGGCGAAATAGTCACAGCGCAAGCCAAAATCGATGGGGTCGACGGTAAGACGCCTTCTGTTTTTTTTCATCTGGCGAGAGCAGAAAATAAACAAATAATGAAGAAAGTTTTTACGATGTTCCAAAATAAACGAAATGCAAGAGCTCCACCATGACGACTTCCAAGATTCCGGGGTCATGTACTGTACCTGATTATAGTGTTGTGAAACCGTACAACTGTCTTCACATCCAAGAGCTGGTGGAGAAAATATGTCATCAATGCATGGATACATTTTTGACAGCGGGGAGTTTTTGGTCAAGCGCCGACGTTGTGGGGTGGACTTTTGGTGAGTCATGAAACTTTGCCGTATGCTACATCCACAAGTGCTGAGCAAAAATCAGACGTTTTGTCACTTTATGTCATCCATCCGTCTACTATACAAGGTTAAAATTTGGTAGCAGAATCATAAAGTCAGGTTTGTCTTTCAAAGACTTTATGTCAAAACGAACGCTAAAGCTCGGGACAAAGTTGCAAAGTTGGCAAGACCGAGTCGTCCTTGCTCCGCCTCCGGCCGTCATCAGAACAAAAGACGAGTGGCGTGGGTCAGCGAGCGATATGAAATTGTGAACCAAAATTGTGTGACGTGTCTCCTTCAAAAATTTACAAACAATTTTTTAGGGAGGCTTTGGAGTACGTAGATGACTTACTGTGGACTTCAGGGTTGCTCTGCGTGTCGTATTTGTGATGCTCTGCGGGGAAAACAAACAACCAACTTCACATTGACTTTCGACAGCACTTGGCCTCATTTGGGTTGAGGGAGAGCTGGAGCCCCTCCCAGCTGTTGTTGTGACGAGAGAACCCTGGACAGGTCACCAGTCAATCCGCGGAAGCAACCACTCACACTCCCTTTCACGCATTTGGGCAGTTCACAGAATTTCCTCAATCTGACGCGCATACTTTTGGAACGTGCCCGAGTGCAGACTCCACGACAGAGGAAGGCAAGGGCAGAGATTTGAACCCACGGCCTCAGAACGGCGAGGCAGGCAAGCGAACCGTTTTAACGCCGCCTGCTCCAAAAATCTCCTTTGCGGACAATTTAGACAACAAAATGCACATGAAAAGCACAGCGTGCTGCTATAAGACGACACCCTGCAAGCTTTTGGAGCCCCAAGGACCACAAAAGAAAGCAGACGGCCCACAGGCGCGGCAAACCCGTGTGAAGTCATGCAAGTTGCATTTAATCCCCGCAGTCACATGAATGTCTGCTGCCGACCGGCCGGTCAGCACTGAATATTTATTTTGGGGGAAATCTAATTGGATTCCATGTCATTAGTTGTTTTGCATTTTGGAGCCACTTCACTCCGGAACCGATTTCATCCAAACAAACATTAGCGAAGTTGAGCTTTCTTCTGGGAGCAGATCGTATCATTCCTCAGCAGACATGTGACTGGACGATCACAAGGTCCGCTGGCTGAGCAAAGCCCTGCCAACCGGCGCTCGCTCCGCATCCTTTTTCCCGACCGTGTGACTCAGTCCCGAGCGGTACCGGCACACAGCTGCATCTGCACAATTCACTCGCGTATCGATGATCTCACAAGGAGACTTGATTTACACGCTGGGGCGTGAGGATATATTTGGCGAGGCTTCCACAAGTTCGTCGCCACCGAGTGGAGAGAGGGTGAACAAATCACAGCTGCCGCGTTGTCCAATCGGCAAAAGTTCTCGCACGCTGCTGACGTAGTAGTAAAGACACCAGAGCCATAAATTCTGCAGATCTCAGTCACTGAGGATCCCAACCACAATCGACTCTGCTTCATCGTGTGTCTTTCTTAACATTCTGTCATCATCTGCAGACAAATACTGAAGTACATACGCAGTAGGTGAAAACTCTTACTTACGAACAATAAGCAAGTGTTTGTACATCATAAATTCCCACCACCGGTTGGTCCCGAGTGGCAAGAACATGCGATCTTTCCAAAGGACGGGGAAAAAAAAGCTGACAGCGACCCCACAAAAACTGTGGCTTGCAGCTGCGAGGAGCCAGAAAGGGGGAGACGGGGAAAGATGGAAAAGATTAAATCCCATCACAGATTTGGCAGACCGCTAATGTATGACATATTATCCCCAAAAACCCCAACTCCATGTCACAAGATTGAAGACGCTCACGCAAATCACATCGTTTTTTTTGGGGGGGGGTTTAGCTCCTTGAGCAGCACCATTAAACCCCAATTAGGATTTTTTTTTTTGTCTGGGATTTACCTGGAAGGATGTACGGCTCAAGGCTTTCTTCACAAATGCACCAATGAATTTGACTTTGCGCCATTTGTCATGGCGTCGACTAGCCAACTTGATGTTACAGTTCTACATCCAGCTGTTAAATAATGTCCCGCATCGGGGTTGTCTTGTTGTGTGAGTGAAAACAGGCTCCCTCCACATCTTGTGTGCTCGCCCACAGAAGAACATCCGGGGGAGAATAATGGAGAGCAGTTGAGCTCAACCCTGTTCCATGGGTGTCCTGTGGGGCAGAAAGGGTTGGATCGTTCCCCAGAAGCATACAAAACTTCACATGTTCCATTTAGAGCTGCTTGGAGAGCCCCCAGTTCTACACAAAAACACCCCAATCCCAAACTGAACCCTACAAGTGGGATCATTCTCTGTGACGCAGAAACTGTTACGACTGGCGAGCAGTCGGGAGAGGCTCCGGCTCCCCCCGTGAACCCCCGAACAAGATAAGTGGCAGAAAAATTGATGCTGATTGATACAATTACAATAATAGAAAGAAAACAACTGCTCGATCCGGTGATTCACGGCACCCACGGAGCGGCGCATCTGTTTTCTTTTCCGCCTCCCAAAATGCACAGATTTTCATTGTTGACTGCCAAATATTCCCAATCAGCTGCTGAGATTCAGTCTCTGCGCTGAAAGGCCGTAAAAGTGTTTGCTGAGAGCGCCAGGCTTTCATTTGACTTCCTGCACATTTTCACATGGATCCGCCATTGCAACAACGATTCGATGAGCTGCGTGTCACTCAAAACCAAATTCACTCTCACGGCGCCCCCGCGATTGGCTCGCAACCAGTCTGGGGCGTCGCCCCGGACAGCTGGGAATGCGTGGCTCCGGCCCACCTGAGACCTTCACGAGGGCAAGAAATCCGATGACTCACTTGCGTCGTCGTCATCATCATCATCAGAAGAGAATGCGTGTTTTCCACGGAGTCTCTTGAAGAGCGATCGCATCACCTTGGCGCTGCCAAAACGCTTAAAGCGCATTTGCATGTTCTTGTGGTACCATTCCAGGCTGCCAATCTTAAGGACCCTTTCGGAGAAATCACAAGGGGGTCACAAATAAACAGAACGACGGGTCAACAAGCAAACGGAAGAAGGCCGCAAGCGCCGTGTGCGGCTGTTGTGCTCAAATTTGATGCTGCTTATGTCTGTGGTATGTAATCCTTCATCTGAAATGAGCTTGACACTTTCCAGAGATCTGATCAGCCTTGGAAGCCAATAGAAATTTAAAAAAAACAAAACGGAAATCACGCTGAACATGTTTGCTGTGCTGTCCCGTATGCATCTGGCGCATACAGAAGACTCACCAGAAACACGTTACCTCTGTGAAGTTCGCCCTCCGCCCCGAGGAGGGCCGAACACGACTCCCCAAAACACACTCAAGAGAGCCCCCGGGCCATTTTGGTTTGAAAGGGTCATTTGAGAAAAATGCTAAATTGTCTGTTTTTTAGTGTCTGTGCCATTAAACGCGAGCAGCAAGTTTTGAGAAGTTGGAGAAAAATAGCCACCAGCTCCAGTTTATCCCATCGCCACAATTTTGGTCGGACTCTTGCCCGAAACGCAACAGGAAGTGGTAGCTTTCATTTGCAATTGTGCTTTTATGATGTTTAACGACACTGCAGGATCGAAACAGAGCACAGACGACAATTATCCCATTGTCGTCCTTGGGGGGGGGCAGCAAGTGACTAAATTCTATCCCGACAAAGGGCTTCACTTGGCAACCTTTCCTACCTGGCCATGTGACAAGGAGCGCACACCCAGCCGTGCTCCTTTTTGTTGTAATGGCTGCAGGAGCCGCAGATGGGCAGTTGACAGTCCAGGCACTGGCGCTTCTTGTTCACCAAGAACTTGAAAGCTTTCAGACAGCGAATGCAGTGAGACTGCGTCAAATTCGCCCAGTCGGCCAGCATCTCTCTTTTACAGTCTTCTTGCTCAATCTTGGTCTTGAGCTCTCTAAGGGAAGAACATCAAAGCAATATTGAATATTTACTCAAAGTGGAGGTCAACCCCCCAAATTTCTTGACAATATATCCTGTGTAGCCCCACGAGTCTAAACACGGCATGAGTTAAGCGGTAAAATGCACCCGTTCCTGTCCATCTCAGGGAGCGGCCATTTTCCCATCTGAAAATGACATCACAGTCGCTCGGGCTCAGGTAACAACCAATCGTGGCTCGGCTTCAGAAAACAGGTAAGCCGGGATCGGTCGCGACCTGAGCCCTGAGCAACTGCGATGTCATGTTCAGGCGAGAGCAAGTGGTAAAATGGCCGCCTCCTGATATGGACACAAACGGGTGGAAAACTCTTTCAAAATTTGGTGAATTTCCAAAGGTGTTCATCCCCCTCAAAATTTGGTTTAATAGTCATAATACCAACGAAGAAACAAACGAGATGGTGCGCGCCATGGCAAGATATTGATACAGAGACTATACAAATAAATACATCAGGCATATGAATTCTCATTTAGAAGACTTTCATTTCAGAAATAAAAAAATCCTAAACAAGGGTCTCAAGCTAATGTTTTATGTAGTATGGATGAAACTGTAAGTCTACCAGTTGTTTTCTTCCCTTCAAAAAAAAAAAGAAATGGAGCTGTGCCTCTGACAATGTTCACTGTATCTAATCCATTTGAACCTCGCAAATACTTTGAGTAAATAACTGCGAGGCGCGTTTGGCAAGTTGCTGTTTGCGCTACAGTGAGGCTTTATACTGCGAGGTCTTGAGACTTCAAGAAAAAGTCCTACTCAAACAAACACATCCTTCCTTTCCCTTAGTTTGACTTGGCGTTGTTTCTTTTATGAATGACTTCAGCACTCTGTGCCACGACCTGAAGCAAAACGATGCACATTACCGTATTTTCACGACCAAAAGGCGCACTTTAAAGGCCTTAAATTTTCTCCGTAACGGACGGGGCGCCTAATAATGCGGCTCGCCTTGTGTACGCACCGAGTTCCAAAATCTGTGAATGCTGTTGTGTGACTTCAATGATGGGGTCCGCTTGAAACGGCCAAAGTCAAGTTGCGAACGATGGCAAACGCGGCTTTCATTAGCCAGTGAGGCAGCGCCGGGCGAGTTATGCCACAATTCGCGAATGGATTGGCAACATTTCGGAGGAGCCGCGCGGCAACGAGAGTGACTCTGACAAGGACGCGAGGGAACCTGCCGTGTTTGATTGTGAACTCGCCCGGCTGTTCACTTCGCAGACAGAAGATGAGTACTTGGGTGGATTTGAGGACGAGGATTGATCCAAAAATAACGTGAGTACGTTGCTAAATACTTCAATAAAGTACAAACGAACTCAGTTTTGCTCCTGCTGATTTTTAAAAACAGATGCTAGCGTGCATGCATGCTATCGTATTTTTTAAGCTAGGTTTTACCATGCCTGCGTCCAATAATACAGCGCGTCTTGGGTACGTGTTTAACACAGAACAAGCACTCGTAACTGACACTAAGCCTTTTAATACGGGGCGCCGTATAATCTTGAAAATATCGCATTCAAAATGTACTGGCCGTAAAAGTGAAGGAAGAGAAGAAGAAGAAAGAAATCAGGCAACCAGTCCAAGACATCAAACATGGCCTTGTTTGGCGGAATCTGGCAGGACAGCGAGGAGTGGATGAGAGGATGCTTGTTTTTCACTCCGGCTCCCTTTCGGGGACGCATCATGAGATCATTGTCCAGATCAATAGGTTAAATGGAATACACTACTTTGTTAATATGCCGCTAAACCTCAGCAGATTTGGCTGCTGGCCATGAACCATCCTGTAACTCTGGCCTAATTTGAAACATCCCGCACAAATCCGGTCAACAAAACAAGATTCAGTTATTCAAATGAGATGCGTGCGGCAAGCAACATCTTGTTTCCAGGCTGAGGTTGTTCTCGTCGTGAGTTGGCTCGCACTCGTTTTCAAGTCAATTCGATTCCGTTCGGGCCAGTATCTGATTGGCTTTATTATTTATGCCACTTGATGTTCACGGCGTGAGGTCAAATCATTCTCTGATGTTTTTGGGAATCAGTTTTGGGGAGAAATAACGGCCTGCCCGATGCAGTTAAGGAGAATGATTGCGTGGTTGAATACAGCGGTAAGCTTGTAAACATTTACAAGATGTGAATATAAAAACGAGGGGAATCAATGGCAGCTTCTTTCTGTGTTTTAAGATATCGTTGAAAAGAAATGCTTTCAGGAAATTTGGGTGAAAAAAAAAACAACACGAAATTGGGTGATCTGAAACCGAATGGCAAGTCGGCCATTTTTGTTTGAAGCAACCGTTTTTGCGGATAATTTCCTCAGCCTCAGCACAAAATTTGGTGGAATAACGACTCACTTTCCAGGACCTGTACGAACAGGAAGTTGGCCATTTTTGGTTTCTAGATCTCAGCACCACCAAGAGCGCCATTTGCGCATTTCGGCACCAGAAGTAACCCTCTGAATTGGATTCAATATTTGATATCAGGAGTGAAGGGACCGCCAGTTCAACACTTTCTAACATTAATATTTGATTTAAAGCAGCGGTCCCCAAAACCCGGGCCGCACAGAAAGAATAAATAATTTACATTACTTCCATTTGATTTATCTCAGACTCTGAAAGATGTTTTATTTTGAAAAATTACCAGAACCTCCGTTATGTCTGTCTACAGTATGTCACTCTTGACGGATGTCAAGGAGCGCTTCTCAGTCACGTGATAGGTTACCCAAGAGCTAGCTGAAATGAGTAAAAAAACTAACGTCTTTGGAAAGTTGAAAAGGCCCAGCCAGGAGACCGAAAAGGAGCCTACGACTTCCAAGAAAAAGAAGGCTACATTTAATAGACAATATCCGGAGTCCTAGTTAAAATACGGATTTGTCTCCACAGGAGATTCCCACGCACCAAGCCCACTCTGCATAATATGCGGCGATGGTGAGTCGTATTTTTCATGCACTCTGTATCTTATTTTGAAGGCAGGTTTAAATGTTACCATAGCGACCAGATAGGATTGCGGCCAGATAGTACGTTCCTCGTGTCAAGATTCGTGTTCATTATTATGTTTCGAAAACACCACCATTTTCATGCAGGTTATATCACATTATTTTGTTGTATTTATCTGTCACACCTTCACAAGGCCGGTCCCTGAAAATATTGTCTGACATTCAACCAGTTTGTGGGGCAAAAAAAGTTGGCATCCCGCCTTTTTTTTTTTTTTCCTTCACTGGCAAGCCTGCGGAATTTGAGGACATCGGCCAAACGTTCACTTAGACTCAAACAGCTGTAAAGACTTAAGCAACAGATTGTTCCCAGACAAAGTGATGCTCTCCCTTGTCTTCTCCGCACAGAATGGAAAAGTGCAAAAAGTTCACTTCGTAAACTGTCCAGGTGCGCCACTCTTGTCTCTGTGTACAATCCAAAGCAGACTGCAAAGCGCTTTTAGTTGCAGGCGGGCTAGACATTGATAATGTGAGCAAAATGGTGACAAATCAGCTTCTGGTGGTGACATAAGAAAGTGACGTGACCTCCTGATCGTGTGTGACGAGCCAGGAAATTATAACAAAAAGTCAATAAAGGCAGTTTACGATCAGACAACCATCTTGAGCTTCTATTCCTCGAGTAAGCCGAGAAGGATTTCTGAGGTACACTGAACTGACGTCTCGCTCGATCTTTCCAAAGATTTGTGCGACTTGAGATTCATATTTCCCAAAAAGTCCACCAGAGCCTCTCGAGCATCACGTGGAAATATGACGGCGGAAATGGGCGTGATGATCAGACATCTGATTCCAATTTGGGACTCCAAGTCAAATTTTCAGAATGACATTTTTTTGGGAGAGCAACATCGCAAGTCTTTCCAGCGAAGAAACTCATCCAGTGTTTCACTTCGCCCATCCTCTTCCGCGTATCCGGTGTTGCTTTGGTGGGCAGCAACCAAAGCAGAAAAGCCAAGACTTCTCTCTCTCTCCCTAGCCACTTCATCCATTTCATTCCGTGGGGACCCTGAGATGTTCCCAGGCCAGCCTAAGGGACACGGTCTCTCCAGCACGTCCTCGGTCTTCCCCAGGGCCCCCCTTGCCCGGAACACCTCACCAGCGAGACTTGAAAAAGGCATTCTATCTCGTTGCCCAAATCGCTTCGTCTGGCTACTCTTAATGTGGGGAAGCAGTGACTCCAATCTGAGCCCCTCCCGGATGACCGAGTTTCTGAGCCCCTCGCTAGGGGGTAGAGCTCAGACAACCTGGCCGCTTGTATCCACAATGGCGTTCTTTCGGGCACAACCCACAACTCGTGACCATAAATGAGGGCGGAAAATCAAGCAGCTCGGTTACTTCTTCACCAACTGCGGACCGATGCAAAGACCTCATCACTTGGGACGATTTACCAATCAATCGATTTAATCCTTCATCATGAACAAGAACCCAAGTTGTTTGAACTCCTCCACTCGCGCCTGGTGGTCAACGTCAATCGGTCTTCCCCAGGGCCCCCCTTGCCCGGAACACCTCACCAGCGAGACTTGAAAAAGGCATTCTATCTCGTTGCCCAAATCGCTTCGTCTGGCTACTCTTAATGTGGGGAAGCAGTGACTCCAATCTGAGCCCCTTCCCGGATGACCGAGTTTCTGAGCCCCTCGCTAGGGGGGAGAGCTCAGACAACCTGGCCGCTTGTATCCACAATGGCGTTCTTTCGGGCACAACCCACAACTCGTGACCATAAATGAGGGCGGAAAATCAAGCAGCTTGGTTACTTCTTCACCAACTGCAGACCGATGCAAAGACCTCATCACTTGGGGCGATTTACCAATCAATCGATTTAATCCCTTCATCATGAACAAGAACCCAAGTTATTTGAACTCCTCCACTCGCGCCAGGTGGTCAACGTCAACCCGACCATTTGGAATGCAGAAGCAAGTGGCCTCACTGTTCCAATACAATTTGGAGAGGAGGTTAATCCTCCGGAATGAGAAACTCCAAGCGAAGACTTTTCCAATCGGAATTTGATGAGGTAAAACGCTGCATTTGGATCCAGTTTCTTACCCAAGCCTGTCTTCCTCTTTCTTCCTCAGGTCGAAATCCCGCTGAACAACTTGCCACACGTGTGCAGCCTCATCGTAAGTGAGCTTGGAGAGATCCAGCCCCTTGCCGGTCACGGTGCCCTGCATTCTCGTGACTCGGCCCTCAGAGGCACCGCGTCGCCAGTCTGCCAGCTCTTTGGTTTCTGTAAGACAGGAATTGAAATCACAAACCATCTCCTAATATCACCCCAACAGGTGCGTGTGGTATTTGAACCAGCCCCAAATCAATCTGTGTGGTGGGTGGTGACACGCATACCTTTCGGCTAACCACGAGACTCCGCACAAAAACACAGCGCGTCAAGAACAAATCCGATGGAATCGTTTTCAATGGAGGCGACGCAAAAGTGGCCCAGTCTCAAACCTCTCAGGGTTGCCACGTGCCAACATGGAGAGCAAGTGTTGAAAATGACATTTTGAGCGGTGGCTTGGGAAGAAGAGCAGGAGATGGCCTTCTTTCAACATTTGTTTGCTAAAGTAATGAAGACTGCATTGTGTCCAAGATATCTATGCTTCAAACCAAAACGGTCAACTTCCTGTTCAGTTTCTGGTGCGGGCCCTGTGAGACTCTTCCATGCCTGCTCATAAAACATGTGGATGAGCTAAACAGGTATTGGGCGGTGGCGCTGCTGATTTTCCACACAATTTGGGGGAAAAAATAAATTCGCAGTAAAACACGTGCAAATTTTAAAGAGCATATACACACATCTTTAAAAGTAGCATTTTTGAATAAAATCAGTATTTTAACTAAAGAGGGGAAGTATATTTTGAATGAACATTTCCTGGGTGTAATTTTAAAATGGCGGTACATTTTCAAGACAATACAAATTGACGTAGCATTAGCTTCACAGACCGACAGATGCCGTTGCCAAATAGTACAGCACGGAAATTCGATCTAATATTATCACACACGCTTTATAATAGCCCCAACGTGCACCATGGCATGAATGTTCAAAGTTCAACGTGACCTGCTGCACGATCTGCGCAAAAAGCAAAAAAATATATCTACATATATATATACAGTAATGATGATGACAAAAATGTGAGCATATCTACAATGCTACGCACGCGTCCACGAGGTGATTCAAAAAGCAGGTCAAAGTGCGCCATGTTGACATGTGAAGACATCGCGGAGCTTGCTTACCTTGTGGAGCGACGAGCCTCAAAGGCACGGCGAGCCGACTGCGGGGCAAACGCCTGCGGCGGCGGCTGCCAGCACTTCTGATCACATGTCCACTTAACAAGGGCGGGGGGGGCAAGAAGAAGAAAAAGAAGAGAGGGGGCAGTGGGGGGAGGCTAATAGGTTGCCTTCATTTGACAGACAGTATTTGATTGAAGGCCGTCTACTACGGGGGCACGGGGGGTCAGGCGGGGCCTTGGGTTATGGGTAGGCCGTCTTCAATGGAGCGCAAAAAAATCTGAAGTCACATGTCATGCATATTATGTAAGATGGCGCGGAGAGCGATCCATTCATGTGCTTTTGATTCAAAGCGTTGAGAATCGCACTGCTTGTAAAACTTCAGTTCAAATGTCCTTCTTAGCGGATGGGAAAATGTTGAATTGTCACCATCCCTCGGATTTCACATGACAGCACAAAGCACAGTTCAACAGATGAAAAGACATCAAAGTCTTCAAAGCGTATTGTTTGCGTCCAATTTCCTGTCCCTCTCTTGTTGATGTTTTCAAAGCGCCTAATTTGAGACACGGGACCGTTGGCCCGAAATCCTGTTTTCTCATTTGGCAACGTTCTCCTCCGACTTCCTGCCGACTAGACGCACAGCGACGCGGTTGTTGCGACTTCATGTGCTTTTGATTCAAAGCGTTGAGAATCGCACTGCTTGTAAAACTTCAGTTCAAATGTCCTTCTTAGCGGATGGGAAAATGTTGAATTGTCACCATCCCTCGGATTTCACATGACAGCACAAAGCACAGTTCAACAGATGAAAAGACATCAAAGTCTTCAAAGCGTATTGTTTGCGTCCAATTTCCTGTCCCTCTCTTGTTGATGTTTTCAAAGCGCCTAATTTGAGACACGGGACCGTTGGCCCGAAATCCTGTTTTCTCATTTGGCAACGTTCTCCTCCGACTTCCTGCCGACTAGACGCACAGTGACGCGGTTGTTGCGACTCATTCGTGATGCTAAGTTGTCGTAGCTTTTGCTCACGTGTGTTTAAACACCTGCCGGCAGTTTGTATAGCACATGAGCCAGTTGTTTCTATTGGAATGTCTTCTTCTTCTGCAGTTGTTTGGTCGTCGTCAAGATGTCTGTGTTGTGCATTAGCTCCACCTACAGGAGGACCGGAGTGTGACGGCCAACTCGGCAGACGTCGCTGTGACATTATTGCTCGGCCTTCGTAAAGGTCTGTGTTCTCTTTTAAGATTTCTCAAAATCTTTGTGAAATAGTACTCATGGAAAAAATCAAATCATTTCAAGTCAAAGAATCATCAAGGCAGATAAAAAGAAATAATGGTTCTTGGGACCTTTTGAATCTCCTGTTCTGGTCGACATGTGCACCCAATTTGGTGTTTATTAGTGAAGCCTGTGTCCGAGGCTTATTTCATTTTTACTTTCTAGCCAAGTACCGGAACCACAATTCACTTTTCCACCGCGCTTGCGCTCGTGCTCGTTCCGGGCCCGCGCCCAGGTTAGCACCGCTCCTTTCTTTTTCCACCAGCGAAATTGGCTCGGGCTC